GCTTTTATCCAGAATTTAGTTGAATATGAAGTATGGGACAGCCACATTGTCCTGTTGGACATTTTTACGTTTTTAATCTCGACTTCCTCACTATTTACAGGGGGAAATCAGATGAAGTGTTTGTTTATTTTTTCTTCACTAAAATATTATTTATTGACACCTAATCGGCATATTCTTAATTTCCTAGTTTGCATGTTTTCATTTTTCACAAGGATTCTAAGTTGCACATTAACGACGATCATTGCGAATTACCCACAGTAAGGGTCTTTTAGTGTAACATAGGATTTTTATTGTTTTTGTGTAAGGTATAAATGAATATTTTTTACAGAAATTGGGGAAGGGGAAATTTTAGAATTCAAAATTAGAGATGATAATTAACAATAACAATAATAATGTTGCGTTGTTGACATTTGCATGACGTATACAATGTACGTATACATTTGTATGAACGTGCCTGCAGCACGAACCGACGTTAGTATGAAAGCGCACATGGGAACCTCTGCACAGATTAATACTGTATGACGTATAGTAACCTTGTAAAAATAATAGGAAACTAGGATAAATAATCTCTGAGATTGATGGGACAAAATTGCAATCCTCAATACGTCTTCGTTACCTCTCCAAAGGTTCACTTTTCAATAATCGTATCAACACACGAAACACGTTTTACAACACAAAAAACTCGTTGGAAGTCTAAAAAGGAAATGATAGCTTAGCTCAGTATAAAATGAATAATCCCGAGAAACTGAAACGGTAAGACATACTTGATAATATAACAACTTAATTCGCTTCGAAACTTAAAAGGTGGAAATAATCAAAAGCAATATGGGGAACTTTGAGAATGGGCACCATTTCAGAATGCGCGAAACATGTTGTTTTCATCCACCTTTTTAATTTTTGAAATAAAGGGTTGTTATGTAATCAAGTTCTGTATTGTCGCTGTTTCCTCCCCCCCCCCAATAAATGACGTGAAACTCTTATATTTAAAAAAAAATTATTTATGTAACTCAAATTAAATTGCATGCTTTAACTTTTAACACAAAAATATCAGCCTTTTTTTATGGAAAAGTCTAATATTTTGTCTATTGAAAGAACTTCCCTCGCGCAAAGTCTAAGGCTGCGTCTGCTGCTAAGGAAACAAGAAATAACGCCTTTCAAAGAGAGGAGCTTCTTTCTGACCAGATTTTCTTCCTCTTTACCTGGCTTAAATAATGACCCAATACTTGAAATAGTTAAACCTCGTAACCATAGTTACCGCTACTACTCTAGATGAATGTCTAGGGGAGTTCTTTAGATAGACAAACTATAGAATACTTTATTATGACAAAATTTTTTTCAAGTCAAAATTTAATCATAAGTTCTTTCTTGTAAATATTGTATCATTACATACTAATTAATGATAATAGTATCATTGCATACTAATAAGCCATTGAAATCACCTCTACCATCGAAATTTAATTTCATATTCCTCTAATTCTAATATTTTATCTTTAAGTTTCTTGAAGTAGTATTTGTTAATAAAGAAACATTCGAGTTAACGAGCAGGCCATTTTCAGTAAAATTGCTTCAGTAATCTAAGTCAGTGTTCCCCAACCCCCGGTCCGAATGGTACGGGGCCACCCATTTCATTGAAACTGAATTTAAATTCCTAGGTTTATACCAAAAATTAAAAATATATGTGTTCCATTATTTTATTTATTTAAAAAAGGAGGCTCCCGAAGGTAGTGACATAAATTTTTTAACATTTTAAAACGATCACCCCCAGTTGGAACCGTCTCATTCCAAAGAAACAAGCTCAGGGTTCCCATTTATTTAATGTTCTAGTAAATTAAAATGTTAAATCACTTTATATTTATTTTTTGGTGTAACTGTATTTTATTTTGAAGGCGTGTTTAAATACAATTAAATTAAAATTAATAAATCACAATAATCTAAAATATAAACAATCAACGTCCACACCCCCTCCTACGGGCCGCGGTAAAATTATCAAACGTTGACAGGTCTGCAGTGATAAAAAGATTGGGGAACACAGATCTAAGTGATCCAACAATTATTCCAAAAGTTTATCTTTAATATTTTAATTTTAAACTGTAATTGCAATATGAAGATAAAAAAATGCAAACACTTTAAATATATAAAAGAATGAACGTTATATATTATATTACATAGGATTTCCTTTGTTTTAGTGTAAGGTGTAAACGCTAATTTTTACGGAAATCGGGGAAGGGGGAGAGAAGTTTTAAAGCTATAAAAAATTCACAAACAAAAACGGTACGCTGTTGACATTTGTATGACCTATAGCAGGGAAGGCGAACCAATGGCACGTGTGCCATTGATGGCACGCGTCACAATATTTTGGGCACGAATCCCATCAAGAAGTTTTAATTGTAAGTCCAATGAAAGGCAGAAATAAACAGTCGACGTCTATGATTAAATATGTTGGCAAAATTGCCATACGAGTGCGGCAAGTTACTAATATCATTGCTCGGCTTAGTAAACCTTTTCAAGCGGGAGAGTTTTTGAAGGAAGCCTGGTTAGCATGCGTGCTATCACTTTTTGATGATTTCGATAATAAAGATAGGATAATTCAGCTTATCAAATATTCTTCTCTATCTAGAAACACAATAAAATAAAGAATCTTTAAACTGGACGGAAATATAAGGATCAACAAAAAATTGGCATTAACTCCATTCTTTTTATATCCCTATGTCTTGACAAAAACACTGACGTCACTAAATCTTCACGTTTAGCTGTTTTTGCTCGATACTGCGTAGGAAACGTCATTAAAGAAGAATTTATTGTGATAACATTCGTTGCTAACAGCTACAAAGGGCATTGATATTTGTACGGCTGCTGAAAATTCACTTATTAACAAAGACATTGATTTGGAAAAAATTGTTTCAGTAACAACTGATGGTACTCCAGGTGCAGTGAACAAGAAGTATGGTTTCATAAGTTTATTTCAAACAGACGCATGACAATCGATTTTTGAATTCCACTGCATCATTCACCAACAAGCCTTGTGTAAGACTGATTTAACATCTCTTGATAATGTAATGGCGGTAGTCACAAAAATAGTCAACCTCATTTCTTCGCAGGCTTTAATTAAGCGAAAGTTTGATGCTATGTTGGATGAAGTCAATTCGGTGTATAATGGCTTACTAGTGTATAACAATGTTCGCTGGTTGAGCCGCGGGAACGTACTTGGAAGAAATCAGACTGTTTCTGCAAAATGAGGAAGAAATTGAACAATACCCGCACTTGTTGGATATTATGTGGCTTTCAAAATTGATGCTTTTTACAGACATATGCCAACGTTTCAATGAATTTAGTGTGAAGCTTTAAGGCACAAATAAAATAATTGTCGTCATGATAGATCTTATTCGCGCTTTTGACGCTAAACTGCATGTTTTCAGGAGCGATATTAATACAAGAAACGACAAGTATTTTCCAAATTTGAAAAAAAAATATGAACGATTTAGATATACACGAGAAACCAGGTGAAGAAACCGTCACTGAAGAATTTATTTCTGTAATTGATTCTTCAATCAATGAAGTTTCAGAGATATTTTGTCAGTTCAAGGAATTGTTGGAAACACTCAAGTTTATTATGTACCCCGATATAAGTGAAAATGCCAATAACAAAATTTTGGAAACATGGAACTCATTACCAAACACATGTAACTGCTTGAAGGAGCTGGCTCGTGCTATTTTAATCATATTTTCATCTACCTATGCCTGCGAATCATTATTTTCTGAGATGAATAACATTAAAGACTCTCTTAGAAACCGTTTGACAGATGACTCCAGTTCAGCATGCATTCGCTTAAACTAACATCTTAGAACCGTAATATAAATTATTTGTCATCTAATTTGCAATAACAGAAGTCAAACTGATGTTACTTTAAATTGAATTACGTGTATAACTGTGACATTGCAAAATTTTCTTGTTTTTTTTTTGTTGTAAATAAAGAGTTTTGAATAGATAGTATTTAGTATTATTATTTTCCCCGTAACCACGAAGTCAAAACTATTTGACGGCACGTCTATGACCTCATTAAACATTTTTTTGGAAAAAATGGCACGTTGATACATAAAGGTTCGCCACCCCTGACCTATAGCAGCCTCGTAAAAACAAAAGGAAACTCGGATAAATCGTATCTGAATTGAGTGATGGAATGAATTCGATTTTTTTTCGAAACTATTTTTCTAGAAAACATGGTTGAAATTCGGAGATTTATTTTGTATAGTGAATGCTACACAATTCCCGATAGGTTGTTGTTACTTCTCTAAATTTAAAAGTCGTTTTGAACTCACTAAAAACTCGTTCGAAGTCAAGATAGGAAATAGAAGCTAAGTTCAGTATAAAATGAATAATCTCAAGAAACTGACACGGTACGACATACTTAATAGATATTGTAAAAACTTCATTCACTTCAAAAATTATAAAGGTGGAATTCGAAAGTAATATGGTGAGCCTAGACAATGGGCAGTATTTTCGAACACACGAAACATGCCGATTTTCACCACCTTTATAATTTTTGGAACAAATGGAGTTGTTACGTAATCAAGTTCTGTATTGTCTATGTTTTCCCCCATTAAAAGACGTGTGACTCCTCTATTTAAAAAACTTCTAACTCAAATCCAATTGCAGGGTTTAATTTTTTTCGGGCACAAAAAAATCATCATTTTTGTTGAAGAAGCCAGTTGAATACTTTATTACTTTTATGTTTAACGAAGAATTTTCCTGTCTAAATTGATTTGTAAATTTTTCTTGTAAATGCTGTACAGTACAGTAGTATCATTACTAACTAATTGGGTATTGAAATCACTCCTTCGATTGAAGCTATTAGAATTAAATTTCAGATTTCTCTAATACCTTTGAGTATTCGAAAGTGGTATCTGTTAATAAAAAAAACATTCAGGAATTAACGAGGCAGATGATTTTCAAATAAAATTGCTTCAGTAATCAAAGAGACATGCAACAATTATTTCAAAAACGTATCTTTATTTCAATTTCAATCTATAATTGCAGAGTTTGTGGATAAAAAAAAAACAATTTAACTACTTTCCAAGTTTGTCCCAAAAGTAATTGGATGCGTCTTTGAAAAGCTGAGATGGCGCTGTCCACGAACAGTCACAATTGCCGTATATCATGTTGCAGGCACAAATTCTCGGTTCACAACAATGCCTTGGACCATGACCACGTGAACCTATTCTGCAAGACTCCCCCGCTTTAGCACACTTTCTGAAATGAAAGCCAAAAGTAATTATTGATAAAAAATTTTATTCATAATTATAACACAGGGGTTTCCAATTTACATGAGGCCGGGGGCCACAATTAAAAACACAAATAAAATGGCGGGCCGCAACTTTATCAAATAAATTTAATATAGGACTCTTTTATGTTTGAAGGAACATTAAATATTACTGTCAGATTTTTACCAAGTTGTACAAAACTAAACTATTGAATTGCAAATTAAAATACGAAGTAGATTTTTAAAAACATTTAATTGCATGTGAAATTAATTTGCTACAATAACTTTAATGCGCACCTATGTATTAAACAATTAATATGCAACAGATATCTAATTGTTAAGATATAAAACTTTTAATAGGTTGGTATTAAAACTTACAAAGTAGCACACAAAATGTTCAATGACGAAATTGAGGCTTGCTGCAACCACCAGAGAATAGATAGTTACATTTTAAATTTAAAATTTACAAATGTGTGTGTAAATATTTTCGTCCAAAATGAGTGGTTTCAAAAGGCTAAATCGGAGAATTTCTTCGAGAAAATTTCTGATACACACATGCTAAATTATATTCACAAAATACAAAAAAATGAAATAAAAAAGAGCAACATACACGATTATTTTTGTATTTGAGTAAATATTTTCTTGGATGCAAAACCTGAGAAGTAATTTTTTTTTTTGCACCGTTGATATGATAAACTTCACAGAAACGAAGAAATTAGGTTTTTATTAACGAGAAAAGTATTTTAAATCCATATAGATTTTTCACGAAAATTGTCCGCAAAAAAATGACAACTAATATATTTTAGTTCGCGGGCCGCCGGTTGGAAACCACTGTTATAACAAGTTATTCATAATTATAACATGTATTGAACCATCGGTGGACCCATCAATGAGTTCACTATACTGAATACTTCACTATAACAACAACAATAATAATAATAATAAATCTACATATATAAAAATGAATGTTTGTTTGTCTTACTGTGTGTGTGTCTTAAACAGACTCCTGAACCATCAGATCGAAAGCGATAAAAGTAGGCACACAGATAGTTCAAAACACAACTTTGAATGTAATTTTGAATGATTGTGTTTTCCTATTTACCACATAACATAATAATTCTTTATTTGATTTATAATAATTCTTTATTGATAATATTTTTTCAAAATATTTAAAATGCTTTCGTTAAGGAAAACAAATTATAATAGTAAAGATTAAAATCTTGACAAATAGTAACATTCGACTCATCATTAATAGTTGAGTCTGATCTAGAAATGCAGGTGTCTACTCTAGGCACATAACAGTCAGGGGCAACCAGGTCGTTTTTTTAAACTAAAATTTCGCATGCTGTTTAATTAGAAAGTGTTTTTAAATTATATATAGCACAAGTTAAATACGATGCATTAGTATATTTGAGTTTATATTTATTTCAATTTTTGTACACTCATAACTCTAATAGACAAATCTTAAGAAAAAACACTAAAAGGAACTATTTGTAACATTTAAGGGCCTCCAGAAATCTATGAATTCTCAGGCGTTATGATAAATTAGGCACTGATTTTTTAGAAACTTAGGGAACATTCCCGCAGTATCTGGTTCGGCATCAATCAGATTATCTATTTCTCAATGAATATTTATTTTTTATCTATTTTTTATTTCTATGAAGAAAAAAAAATAACAATAAAAAAAAACAGCCACTATAGACCTATATAATATTTTCTGTTACATATAAAAGTTAGTTATTAAAACATTTCATTCTACACTGAATCGATTACCTATGTAAAAAAAATAGTAATTAAATATAACTCTATAGAACTATTTTTATATTATAACAAATTTTTCTAACAATTCTTCTGACAATTTTTCTAAGAAAAAATTGTTTTATTTGTACAAATGAAAAACTATTTATTTATTAGTTTATTTACTTATTCTTCTTTATTTATTCTTATTTATTTAGTTGTTAAACAGATATAAAAATGCAAAATTTCTTACTCGAGTCCATTTTCAAGAAGATTTTCTGCAAAGAAGTAAAATGTGTAATTATATATGTAATATAAGTAGTTGTTACATGTATTAGATTAAAATATAAGGTATTTATTCAGTAATTTTTCTGCCATAAAAATATAAAGCTAAATCTAACACTAAAAAAAAATATATTTGATTGTTTGATATTTCCATAACTGGCTTTTCCATCGTACTTATATTTAATATAATTACCAAAGAGTTTAGATTATAGAAATAATACTGTTTAAAATATTGTTTTTTTTTTCTAATCTGATATGTTTACACAGGCGATTATTCAAAAGGTGCACTTTTATGCACAGGCGTAGCGTCAGGGGGCATGGAGGGGTACGTGCCCCCTCAATATTTCGGCAAAATACAAATGTTTCCTTAATTGGTTGCTTAAGAAAAAAATGTTTTTTAATAGCTGAACCAAGATTAGATTATTACTATCCCATTCTTTCCATTCAAATCTTCTGCTGCTAGTTATTATTATTATTTTTATTTAGTTTGGCTTCAATACTTAGTTATGATTCATCAAGGTCACTTTGAAAATTAGAAAGAGTAATAATCGTCTGCTTCAAGAAGCTTTTTGGGTATTTTTATGTACTACTAACTCGTGAGTGCTAATAAAAGCAGCTGTTTGAAAAAGCAAGGGAATGAATATCGGTCTATTTTTTTAAAAGGGTAAAAGTGATCGTTGGTTACTAATTAAGACAACGCAGGTCAATTGCATTGTGATATATATTGTAAAAGCGTATACTCCAAATGTTGTTATCTGATCTCCGTACTTTCGTACATGCCCTTCTTTATATCTTGGTCTTTGGTTCCCATGTTTTGATGGCATAATGATTGAATTGTAATTTTTTTTATTCCATTGAACTCCTTTAACATTTTTCTACTAGCTTTCATAATTTCAGATTTTTAAATCTCATAGATTTTTAGCAACTATGCAAAATGTAACTAAAAAAGTGAGAAAAAAATCGCAAAAAGACACTTTAAATTGCAATGACATTCGAAAAAATTAGACGTTCAAAAAAAACTAAATTCATAAACAAATATGGCCCTTTTAGTATACCAAATTTCAACTCTGTAGTTGTATTCCTGAGGTCTGCGTAGTGGCCGGTATAGTATTTTTTCCCAAAAAGTTTCATGATTATTAATTCTCGAACGAACTACTCGAATGTTAAATTTTTTCATTCCAAAGTACACTTTTCTATTCATCTTAGTGATTTCAAGTTTCTAAAGTTTTGTTGTTTTTGCGCAGCAAAACAAATGGTACGTTAAGTTGAACACTTAAAACAGCGAAGGTGGCCCTTACGATTTTTTAATATAGAAAATTTCTGGTTAACATACGCATAAAGAATAAACATGTTTTCTGTATAAAATCCTTTATAGGTTGAGCTTGTTAAACTTGATTGGAATTGCTTACAAAAAATATTTCTATAATACATCATTTAATATTTTCCATTGATAAATTTTTACCACTATAAAATATAAAGATTGTTTACCTTCAATTGCACTGAAACATTTCGCCGTTTCCAAAACTAAAAACACTGTTAATACTGATAGGTAAAAAGAGTTCATTTTGTTGTGAAAAATCATCTGAATTTGAGCTGTAAAAAACAATGGTACATAATTTAACTTATGACTGCTAAAAAAAAGGGTTCTTAAAATGGAAATTACATTTGCACATAAACACTGCAATTTTTACCTAAATTACTGAAAGAAGTGCTGCTGTTTCTAATGGCACTTGACAATACAGATAGCCTGTTTGGGAAAACCAAGAGAATTTAGGGCAAAAAGGTGCGTTTCGTGTTTTTCAGTGATGAAAAACACGAAGTGATGAATAAACTATGGCCACATGTACGTCACAGCCATTCATTCGGCCACAGATCATAATTTTGATCTGAATCAGAGAATGATCAATCTCCAATTCAGTACTTCAGAGGTATGATTTGTTATGGGAACATGGAGGTCTTTGTGACCCGACAGACTTAACGTGCACCAGTCACCATTTACTACAAGGGCAGTCTTCGGCTGGCGGGGATCGAAAGCACGATATCTTGGACATGGGCTCAACCCCCTACCAACCAGGCTATTTGCTTAAATTACATGTTCAGTGAAGTTCATTTTTGCTAAATAAGATATTAATTCTTCTTTTTTTCCCCTTAATGAACAGTTTATTTGAAGGACATTTTTTGAAATTTTTTGCTATTATTCTACTTTCAATCCGAAAACAACTCTTCCATCAACACAATACAGTAGAGTCCCGATTATCCGAGTTTCCGCTTTAACCGAGCTATTAAATATTTAAAGAATTTTTTTTGTTTTGTTTTAGTTTAATTCTTCTTTCTTTTTTTAAACTACAACCGAAACATAAACTCTGAATTTTAGCTTCCAAACATTCGAGAAAACAAGCTGACGGACAACACGAGATTGCCAATGAAATGATCGTTAATATCGTCAATAATAAAAATGTAACTAGCGAAGATGATGAGGACAGTGGCTATAAAAATCTCTCATACAGAAGGACTAAAAGCTATCGGACGTGCTACTGAATGTATAGAACAACAAGAAAAGGTGACAATAGTCTTGCTGTTATTTCGAGATGAAAATAGCGAAACATTGCTGCAGAAAAGCGCCAAAGTAATGTACCTTTTAAATAAATTATGAAAATCTATATTAGAACGCATAGAAATATCAGTGTAAATCATTAGTATAAATTTGGCATGAAATTTAGACAGGTTAAAAAAGAAAGCTATTGACTCAATAAATTATTGTTTTTATTTATTGATTAATTTGCTTGCTTTAAAAATGAATATTTACAGTAAATAATGATGCATTCATATAAAGTTTTAAAACTAGTGCTTAAAAATTGTGGCCTAAAATAACCTCTTTGTTACAAGTTATTTTGGCTCAGTCATTTCATTTTACTAAAATTACATTGTGCTTTGTACATTAGGCCGGCACACCCTGGGTGCCAGTACTTTTTATCATAATTTGATTCGTAATTTTTTTTACTGTGTACAACACCAGTTACTTCAACAAGTAAATTTCCGTACGCAAAATCTCCAAAACAATTTCTTCAATAATTGTCTTATTGTCTGAAATTTTTAATCGTTCTGATTGTGTATTCTTAAACTTAAGAATTACTGTAGGTATGATAAAATTGTTCAGCTTCAGTTGATAAGGTTCAACAAGTTTAAACGAAATGGTGGTTTAACCGGAAAAAATGTGAAATTTTTTCTCAAATATAGACAATTTTATAGATTTTATGATAGCTCAGTATATGTCTGGTGATTATTGGCGTAAAGAAATTGCTATAATTTGCTAGAATTTGCTTTTACAGAAATAGCTGTGACAAATAATTTTATCATTTTAAAAAGTAAACCACACTTACCCTCAGTTTTCTGAAAGATCCTGCTTTCCGCTCAAAGCGTGGCCCTTTTATTCTTGGATGGGGGGAAAAAACCACCTACTATCTCACCACAAAAAATCAGAGTTATTATCTGCCTCCATCATCGCATCTAATTAGTATTTTTTATCTTTTCATGAATAATATCCCCTAAAAAATTGTTTCCCGAAAGGAGAAGGGAAAAAAAAAACGTAACCATTTTCTCTGAAAAATGTTTTTCAATACAATTTACTCAAAAAATTGCCACGTGCAGCTCTTAATCGGAATATCTCGAATGAAAAAAAAATCTAATAATTCTCTTGAAATAATTATAATAATTATATTTAATTAACTTTTTTCTCAATTAGGAACTCGGGGTAATTGATACATAAATCAGGAATTCTCGACAAATAGTTCATATCTCAACTTTTAAATTATACATAGTTTTTAACAATAAATGTGATTTGAACGAAGATTTTCAAGAATAAATAAAAGTGACTTGTGCTCTTTTCATATAAAATAAAACTGAAGTTAAAATAAGAATACATCTTTGTGAACCTTTTCATTTCAATATTTTATTTACACAGTTTTAAGTTACCTGAGATTGGTGAAATATGTAAAAAATCAAATGAAAACTGTTGTCAAAAGTTAAAATAAAAGAAGAACGTATTTTACAGTATTCAACTTTAGCACAAGGTGTAGAGCTTTTATTAAGCCAGCAATATGCATAATATATCTTATAAAATTTTAAAAAAAAGTAGTAGTATTTAAGAAATTTGTTGAATTTTTTTTATCATTTGCTTTAAAAATTACTGAAAATTATCTATTTATTGCCAGTTTTTTTTTATAAATTATATAATGGTCATGGGCATATGAGCCGCTCAGAAGCCAATGCGGTTAAGTCCATTTTTTGATATTTTCTGATTTTTGGAAATTTTGATGAAATAAATAATAATCTTCTTAGTTATTAAAGGATTTACTTGTTGGTTACTTTTTTCTGGGTTAAACAGCCCTTTTTTTAATAGCTTCTGAATATATTGTATAATAATTTCAGAAGCCATTGTGAATAAGTCCACCTTTTATCAATATTTTTTTACATAAACTTTGAAATAAAAATTAAATTCTTCTTCTTCTTTCGATATTTTTTGGTAACACTGAAAAACAAGAAATTCATAGTAGCAGTCAGTCAGGGTTGCCGGACGTAGTATTTTTAATACTACGATAGTTTTTTTTCACCAAAAAAAAGGGGTATGGTATTTTTCGTAGTATTTTTACAGGACATTAAGGACAACGTGTGGAGATCAAGATTTACATTTAAATAACTCGGAAGAAGATGGTGTTTGTTATGATGAATAAACATAAAACTTATGACAATAAATGTTTTTTTATTATTTTTACATAAATTTCTTATCTTTTTCAGCTGCCAAAGGGTAAAAGTCCTAAAATTTTTAAGATGCTGTCATTATTTCAATAAATACTTACGTTTTTATTTACACATCCTGTACNTGTTGTCAAAAGTTAAAATAAAAGAAGAACGTATTTTACAGTATTCAACTATAGCACAAGGTGTAGAGCTTTTATTAAACCAACAATATGCGTAATATATCTTATAAAATTTGAAAAAAGTAGTAGTATTTAAGAAATTCGTTGAATTTTCTTTTATCATTTGTTTTAAAAATTACGGAAAATAATCTATTTATTGCCAGTTTTTTTATAAATTATATAATGGTCATGGGCATATAATTATATGGAATAAATGTCTAATTGGATATCAATAATGTGTATTAGAACGATTTAACTTGTTTCTTGCTTAACATGTTAATTTTTAAAGGGCAAAATAATATTTTATATTCAAAAATAGAAAGAAAAATGTATTAAGTTAACAAAAAAAANAAAAATAGAAAGAAAAATGTATTGAGTTAGCAAAAAAAAAAAAAAAAAAACGATTGTTTTCTTTTCCTTCTTCTAATAACACACTTAGACAGTGGGATGTTAATTTGCTCAAGATTACAAAATATTGTTCATTAGTTGTCAAAAGTTTTTCTCGTATTTTGTTTTAATAAAAATAAATTTATTTTCGCCTTTTCAATCCACTTGAAAAACGTGATTTTTAAGAACTTTATTAAATCTAAAATTTAATACATTCATAGGCATGAAAAAAAATTTCGCAGAAAATTTCATACAAGATTTGGTTTTAAATTTGTCATCAAGATCTATGACTTTAATACAACTTGGATTCTGTGATTCTGTAATTGATTTCGAATATATCTAGAGAGAATTGGTTTTAAAACTGCTAAAAGTATTTTTTTTTTCTATCAGCTTTATTTTTAGGGATACAACGTTGTTAACCCCTCAACGATCGGTTAATTTTCAAGAAAACGGTCATAAAAGTGCCTATTTTTTTTATTAGTGCTATTTGATTAGTGCTGACATCTAGTTTAAAATAAACTAACTATCTACAATTACTTTAAAAATATCCTGGTACTGCCCTCTGGTGTGTAAAATGAGAAATACAATTTTTTCCGGGCAAAAGAAATGAATTAGTTTTATTCTTATTGGCGCGTTACTACTGAGCAATCCAGCCCGGAAATATAACGGGAGCGAGAAATAGAGGGCGAAACCTCACCCCGTCATTTTCACAGGAGCGAGAAGTAACTTAGTCAAAATAAAAGTGAAAATCAAGCCGCTGTACTAAAGGAATAAAAAATCTAATCAAAACAAGGGGTTGCAAGCTATGTACTTTCCTAAGTGCATTCCTAGAAGGGGTTGCGATCTATTCCAGCAGTTTCCAAAAGGTGTTCCACGGAATCTTAGGGGCCCTTGGAAGAGTCACAACGAGATTCCGAGGATTATCATTTTTTAAAATCTCTAATGAGTTCTAAAACCCGTAATTACATTTGTGGGCAATCAATGAATTATCAATATCAACAGGCAATTATTAATAATAAAGCAATCAATAAAAATAAATCAATCAATTTTTATTTAATATTTTGGTTTAAAAAAATAGCAAGAATTTCAAAAGAATAATTGAACTCATATTTAAAAAAAAAATTGCTGAATTTTAAATGCCATATCGAGTTTTAAAAAGATAGCTTTTTTCATTTGTTGAGAAAGCATGCCGAAATGAAGTCGAAATCAGTTTAAAAATTTGAGGGATCAAACATAACGTTCTTTATGAGATTGTATAAATCACGTAGTTCGCAATTTAGCAACGCTAAATATCTAATAGTAGAGTTAATCGAGAGCAACTATTCATAAACCTTCATACACAACTGTTCTCACTATTCATAAGAGCATTGCATGAATACACTTTTTGAAAAAATATATCATTAGATTAGTGGATGTATGAAAAAAGGCAGAACTGGTTTTATATTAAATTTAGCAACTCAATTTAATTTTAAAATTACGGTGAAGTAACCAGGAGCAGTCTGTCCATCCAATTAATCGTAACGTTTATGGTTCGGAACATTTCTTTACCCTTACGGATTTGAAACCGTTTACAACTGGTACTGTTCAAAAGCCATGAATACAAAACTATCCATTTACCTCTGCTCTAGCATGACTTCAAAATAGTAAAAGTGAAGTTTAACTGGACTTTGGAGGTTTGGCTTTTCGCTGGATAATGACCTTTGGAGTTAAGTTGTTTTCGAATTGTATTCAAGTAAACTTCAATTTGATTTCCAGTGAATCGTATCTAGTGAGTTAATTAATTTTTCTAGTTGTGCAATCCATCGTGAGAGATAGGAAATACTACATTTTTAGAGTTAAGAACCTCTGTGGAGCTGCCATCTTTGCTTGAAATATTATTANTCCTAGAAGGGGTTGCGATCTATTCCAGCAGTTTCCAAAAGGTGTTCCACGGAATCTTAGGGGCCCTTGGAAGAGTCACAACGAGATTCCAAGGATTATTATTTTTTAAAACCTCTAATGAGTTTTAAAACCCGTTATTACATTTGTAGCAATCAATGAATTATCAATATTAATAGGCAATTAATAATAATAAAGCACACATAGTTTGCAATTTAGCAACGTTAAATCTCTAATAGTAGAGTTAATCGAGAACAACTGTTCACATACAACTGTTCTCACTATTCATAAGTGCATTACACGAATACACTTTTTGAAAAAAGATATCGGTAGATTAGTGAATGTATGAAAAAAAACTAATAGGTAAAAACTGATTTTATATTAAATTCAACAACCCAATTTTAATTTTAAAATTACGGTGAAGTAACCAGGAGCAGTCTGTCCATCCAATTAGTCGTAACGTTGACTGTTAGGAACATTTTTTTACCATTACGGATTTGAAACCGCTTACAACTGGTGCTGTTAAAAAGCCATGAATACAAAGCTATACGGTTCGTATCCATTTACTTCTAGCATGGTTTCAAAATAGTAAAAATGTCGTTTATCTGAACTTTGGAGGTTTGGCTTTTCGTTCGATAATGATCTTTGAAGTTAAGTTGTTTTCGAATTGTGTTCAAGCAAATTTCAATTCAGTGAATCGTATCTAACGATGCAATCTATCAAGTGAACTGTATGACTGTATCTAGTGAGTTAACTAATTTTTCTAGTTGTGCAATCCATCGTTAGAAATAGGAAATACTACATTTTTAGAGTTAAGAATCTCTGTGGAGCTGCCATCTTTGCTTGAAATATTATTATTTCAGAAGTCCAGGGTCATTAATTGAGAAGTTCAAGAACACTGGAAACTCCTCGCAGGTTGAAGGAATGGAGGAAATATTTAAATGAAAAAATTTCACAGTAAGGTTCAAGCCCCTGAAATAAAAATTAACCCCTTTTTGCATGAAATTTCCATCATAACATTTAGTGAACAATATTGTACACAAAACAGGTGTATTGTAAATTGGTTGTTGTTATCAATTTTTTTCACGACTATTGCGTAATAAGGAACGTAGCTTTCAAAAAAGAAAATCATAAGTCGCAATCATTACAGCAGGTTTGAACTTTTCATTCCACTGTTTGTCGTGGTTAAAGGAAACGTGCAAATTCTTGAATATTTTTTATTACTAATCTGAGATTTTCATAGCTAATAAAAGCGATAAGGAGTGGAATAAATAATTTTTTTTTCTCTTTTTTTTGGCGATTTTTATCTAATACCCCAAATAATCTTTCTAGAAAGATGTCACATCACTATGCAGTTGTTCCACTTCTAATGCATGACGAAAATGCTTTTTACTACATGTTTATTTTATGTTATTTTTGTAGAGAAATTTAGAAGGGTGGGAAGGGAAGATTACTCGGATCAGTTAGAAGGCTGTCATAAGATGGGTCTTGATAACGAAAACTCTGACAAAGAATACCGCGATGCAGATAAAATTATAACATTATTGCAGGAGGAGGATAATTATTGTTTTTATTTTAATTATTGTTAGGAATAAAAATGATACATAGATACATTTTTTTTTTTTGTACTTAGCTTAAAATGTAAATTTGCATGATGATATATATTTCCCAAATGCTTTATTTTTTTAAATATTTTATATTTTTATACTATGGTTTTTTTAAAACATTTTTCCTTTAATATAGAGCATGAATTGTATCACCCTGATTTATTTTACAAAAAAGAAGGAAAAAATCTTACAAAGAAGGGTTAAATAAATTATTATTTAACCATTTTTCCAAAGAAATTTCTAACGGTATTTTCAGTTCTAAAATCCTAGAAACTAAAATAAATAATAGTTCTTGTAGGATTGTGTTATCTGATCGTTGACGTTGCATCTACTGATCATGATGTTTGCTGTATTAAAATGTTCTCAGTCTATGTTTGCTGTATTGCCGGCCGATGGTCGAGTGGTTAGCGTGCTGGCTGCGGGTTCGAATCCCGCTCAGGGCATGGATGTTTCTCTCTCTGTGTTGTTCTCTATTGTGTGATGTGTGAAGGTGGCCCACCCCATAAAACGGGTATCTGTGGCAGTGTGGCGTGGGTAATGTTGCTCGCCTCCGTACCTTAGGTTCACAGGTGCCCACTGGGTAACGTTAAATGAGTAACACTTACGGCATCTTGCCAGGCGAAGAACGTAAAAGTTCAGTGCCTGCGTTAGGGGGGGGGGATGTTTGCTGTATTAAAATGTCGAACTACCATGTCGTGGTATCTACAGAGATTATAATATAGCAACATAATTGCAATTATAGTATATCTACATAAATGCCAATTTCGCAATTTTTCAAACCTGTTGCTTTTCGGCAGGTGATTCAAAAATCTTGATCAGATCTTATATGCATTCTTCTTATATTAACAACACCTGTTACATCATGTATGTCAAATAAAGTATTTATTGTTTGGGAGGGTCCCAGAAACTCGATAAATCATGCTATTGTCTGATCGTCTACGTTTCCTCCAATATAATCCCCATCGTCTTTGATATTTCTTTACCGAAAGAAGGTATTTGACATGATAAAAATATCTGTTCTTTTTTAACGCAGGTGCATTTTCTTATAAATGTCAACTTGCATGTCCAAAAATGAGAAATGAAAGTTAATTATATCGAATAAATTTCCTTTGTCCTCATACTTCCTACGAAATTTCTACAATATTCAGTAAGCTTCCCGCCAGTTCTTTTATCTGTAACATTTAGATGTAAGTATACTATTAGTATTGTTGTGTTACAGTCAATGTAATTGATCACTTAATACATTATAATAATTATTGTTATCGTTAATGATAACCAAGTATGTTGAATAAAGTAAATAACAGAATTTATCACATTTACCTGTTATTATAAATAATTACCGATAAAGTTTGGTCATTGTAATAATTTATCCAAAAAATAGCTTGAAATTTTGGTTTTGATAAAGTATACAAAATTCCTTAATAAAAAAGATATGTTTCGAGGCCAACAATAATAAGGTTGCTAATTTGTTTTACTACCCATTAAAAGCACAGTTGAATTAATTAGTATAGTTGTTTTGTTTAAATTGTTAGCATTTTTGTACTGTTCTAAAATTGTGAACATGTAAGAGGCACTCTCATTTGAGTAAGATGAATTTATATTTATATATTGTTTTGGTTTTTGACTGTATAATTGATTATAAATATCGAAATGTACTTGAAATTATACTCATTTAAAAAGACGAACCAGCTAGTTGCCGNTATATATGTTATTAATGTTATTATTAACATTAATAACATATATAAGCTATTTGTGCTTATGTGAGATTCGTCTACAAACGGCTTTTGATCCGTCCTCTAAATCAGTTCTTTCGTCAACTCGATACGCCGTACGCTCTAAATAACAAAATGGGCTCAAAATCTTGCAGGAAAAAAAGATTTTTTAATGGAAGAAAATTAATTTCCGGTTCCGAATTTCATTCCGGTTATCTGGTTTTCCGGTTTTCTGATTTCCGGATAAGAGGTTCTGCACTGTACCAATAAAGTTTGATAATTGTAATAATTTATTCAAAAAATAGCTTGAAATTTTGGTTTTAATAAAATTTACTAAATTCCTTAATTTCAAAAGAAAGATATGGTTCGAGGCTAACGATAACAAGGTTGTTAAATTATTTTATTATCCATTAAAAGCACCATTGAATTAATTAGTGTATTTGTTTTGTTTAAATTGTTATCATTTTTGTACTGTTCTAAAAGTGTGAACATGTAAGAGACAAAGTTACATGTAAGAGGCACTCTCACTTGCGCGAGATGAGTTTATAATTGCATATTGTCTTATTTTTTCACTGTATGTCGTATAGATTATAAATATCGATTATAAGTATCGAAATATTTGAAATTCTACTAATTTAAAAAGGCGGACCAGTTGGTTGCCGGAGGCGACTTGTTATTTGCATAGAAATGACAACTTAAAAACATCATTTCTAAACTAACATTTAAATTTCGCTTTGCTATTTTAAAAGCAAAGTTAAATACTTTTCAACAAGTTGAGTTATAAGAAATCCAAGTTTTTATATTCTTTTAAACTATGTTATTTTGATTAGTCAAATTATAATGTTATTTTAATGTTAGAACACAAAAATGTAATGAAATCGGCTAAGTAATTTCTAAGTAATAAATTTTTTTAAATTTTTATTTCTCAAAAGCCAGTTGAGCGATTCCGGTCAATTTTGTATCTGAGCCATGGTTTCTCAGGTGATAGAGCGCTCGCCTTCCGATGAGGTGATCCGGGTTCGAATCCCAGCGATGAATGGTCCATATGAATTCCGCACCCGGCTTGCACCGACCACTGCGTTGACATAAAATATCCTCAGTGGTACTCGGATCATGGGGTAGAAACCCTTGACGTCATGTTAACCGTGGGTGGTTTTCCTCTCCATGTAACGAAAATGCGGTTTAGTTTCATCAAATAGTCCTCCTCGAAGACAAATTTCTCCCGATACTTGATCCAGGAGTTCCACTTTTCTCTGGATTGGGTTCACAATTACAAGATTACGGAGTTGAGCATTGCTAGCTGTAAAGTCAAAATTGGGTCGGCTGTTTAACAACGGTTATAAAATATGAGACTTTGTATTTGTTATTTAAAAGTAAACAGTTCAAAATTATTTCATTCAATCAATTAAAAAATTTTACGAGCATTATTAAATTAAATAATAAAAAAATGAAACACATTTTTTTTTTTCATCTTCGAGTTTTATCATAATCGAGTTTTATGATTATGTTTACAATTCGTTTTAAAAAAATTCGAAATATGGCGAAATACGCGTTAAGTGAAATATACATTTAAGACGAAAGACTGTTCTCTTGACTAAACTATCAGAGCCTTGTTTTCTAGACTGTGGTTGACTCTCGTATTCTGATTGTCGAAAATCTATGTCTGGCGAAGGAATTGTATATTTTTTCAAAAAAAAAAACTATTTTTTCCAATTTTTTGCTTAATTAATAATTAGCAATGATTAATTAGCGTAGTTGAGGAACATTGGAACCATAAGAATTAGTATTCAGTTTATCAATATCCGGTTAAAAAAAACTTAGTTTGATGTCCCTTTTGATAATTTTCAGTTAACTAGGCGCAAGTAAATTCGACATTTTTTTCAAAATTTATTTATTTATTTTAGTTTTAATTTTTTGCAACAGTGTGATTTTTTAAAATAATAAGTAAAAATAATTGTTATTTAATATAATATTGTTATTTAATACTGTTAATTAATATAATATAATAATTGAAATTACTTGCTACCGAAAAAGTAACTTTTTTTATTTGTCTTATTACTCTACATCACGATGTAATAACTATTTAATACTTATTTCGAGGTCCTAGTCTGAAATATGAGTAAACATAATCATCTACTGGATCACGCATTTCATTAAGTTAAGCACAAAAAATTATTTATAAAAATGTCCTCCGTGTTTTAATTAAAAACTCTATGTATACCTTATGAACACCTAAATAAACAATGTTGTCAAACCCGTAGTCCTCTATAGCTTCGAAGAAAAAATTTATTGCTATCGTCGTGTTTACACGCATTCATTTTTTTTTACATGCAATTATTTTCTATATTTTCATAAAATGATATAGCATGGCTATATTAAATAATATGTACAGTGCGCAAAATAAAAAACTGACCATCCTGAATAACTTTTGATCTAATGATCGGATTTTCACGTTCTAGGACTCAATCTTAAAGTTTTAAGGTGGTGACTTCAAATGGCTAATTAATTGATGCAGTTGATATTTTAAGGTATGAAATCAGACATGAAAACGTACTTTCTCTAAATAAACATGCCTTTTTTCGACGGTCTTGATTTTGTGACCCTCAAAATATAGAGAGTAGCCGTAATCTGGGAAATATGGTCCTAATAGTTTTGTCAGGAAAGCAGTCCTAAGTTTAGACCCTTTAATGTTAATTTAACTTCTTGCGCATTTCACCATATTTCAGGAACTTTTTAAGCGAACTGAAATTTTTTTGCGCACTATTATAAAATTCGTTTATCTAACTTTGAGTAAATATTTATTGTTTTATCATTATTTTATTTAAAAAGAGTCGAAAATTTTGAATTGTAATGTACAAAATATTTTACTGCATCATTTTAAAGAACGCAATTTTAAATGGCAAAATACAAAATGTGAGTGAAATCGGTCAAATAGTTCTTGTGAAATCCAAATTTAAAAAAGTCACGTTTTCAAAATTTGATTTCTCAGTAACTATTCAACCACTTTTAACCAAATTTTGTAAATTACGTTCGTTAAAATGATGCAAAAATAATCGTTACTTTACAATTCATAATTTTTATTGACTATTATTAAATAAAATAATAAAAAATAATATTTTTATTAGCTATATTTTGCATAAAATTAACTTTAAATAAATTAATTTTATAATAGTGTGAAGAAAATTTCTACCCACTTAAGAAGTTCTAGAGCTATATAATGAAACACGCAAAATGTAAAATTAATATTAGGGAGTCCAAACTTTGGACCACTCTCCTAATCAAACTATTGAAACCTTATTTCCCAGATTACGACTCTATCCCCCTATATTTTGAAGGTCAGAAATACAAATTCGTCAAAAAAAGGCACGTTTTTTCAGAGAAAGTACAAATTTGTAACTAAAAATACCGTCTGCACTAATTAATTAGTATATTTGAAATCACCCTCTCGAATCATTATGATTGAGTCTTAGAACATAAAGATCCGATCATTCGTTTAAAATTATTTAGGATCATCCGTTTATTTATTTATGACGCTTTATACTCGTAGCTGTGGAAAAAAACACAAATACTAAGTTGCAAAATTTTTCTAAAATAAAAATAACATTAAGTATATTAATTCGAAACATTTACGTATAGAAATTTGTTTATTTTATTGCATTAATCAATTGCGATTACTTACTTGCGTAATTATTTTAATTATTTTTTATTTTTCAGTCATTAAAAATTTTACCAAGGAGAAAATAATTTACTACACGATTACTGTTGATTTTGGCAAGGATGGAAAAAGTAATTTCATTCTGTTTCGTAATAGCACTTGTTTTTTTGAACTTTGTTGAATGCAAAAATCTAGGTAAGTGAAAAAAGGATCCATCTATAACAATTCAATTTACTTTTCATATAACTGTGCATTAGAAATTGGGAAAGATAAAAAGTTTTCTTACTATATTTTAAAAAAAAAATCTAATGTCATTATTAAACATTGCGAGTTCCTATATCTAATTTAAGTTCGATTAATTTACTAGTTGAGATCAATTTAGGCAGGAAAGAAGAATGCCTGCCTATGATTCATCAGATAAAACTACCTTATTGAAGACTCTATGTGACGTTTACGAGAAAGTTAATTTAAGTTTAGTTTTCTTTCGGTGCATTTTGGCTTTCAACCAGTCAGAGAATATTACCCATCTCTCATAACCCTCTAACCAAAGTGAGATATAGGACCTCTAGCGAATGCTAGGACCTCATATCACGTGATTTACAATCAATAAAAATGTAACAATTCCGATGACCGAGTTCTTCTGCTTCATGTAGTATTGTAACGAACCAACGATGATTCAAATAAAACTTCCCATTATCCACCATGTAAAAAAAGAATTTATTAATTTGAATTTTTTATAGCTATATAACAAATTCAAATTAATAAATTCTTTTTAACTAATTCTTTTCTGATATAGTGGAATTCAGAAAAATTTCCTGATATCTTAAATAAAACTTTTAAAGAACGATGCGCAAAATAAACCATGTTCTTAGGGGAAGTAGGAGTGAAAATAATTATAGTTTGATGTAAAATGTTTTCCTTCTCATAGGATGTATCAACATTTAGTAAACATTCGATATATAATAAATTATTCAAGGTAAGAATGTTTCCCTCAGAGTTTTCTATTTGAAACGATGTTAAAAAAAATTATTATTTCGAATATTTTTCTTTTTGTATACTTTTTCCTTTGGATATATTGAATTTTCGTTCATATGTAGAGGAAATCAATAATTATTCTCGGTATCTATAAATTATTTTTTTTAAAAACTACACAAAACAAAGTTTTAAGAGGAAGAAGAGGAGTAATTTTAAGTAAATAATAATTTTTTTTCCTGAAATATACCTGTAGTGGACTACATTATGTAATGATTTTTTTAGCATTTTTACTGAATTCAGTATTTTTTTAGTAATATTTTTAGTATCTCTTTGTGTAATTGTGCATTAGTGTCTCAAAATGTTGTGCCGAATAGGCATCTCTTTCCAATTTCAATATTTTCATTCTGATTTCCTCTTATGTGATTGTATCTCCATTGTTTATACATAATAATGGACATAAATAATTAGAAGGCTGAAAAGGACGCACGGGAGAAATCTTTCACGGCAAATACTCTTTCACCTACATAAGTAATTTAAAATTTAAATAAAATTGAAAAAAATTGGTTCAGCTAAACTTTGGGTAAACCATGAAGTTTCAAATTCTGATTCTGATTTATTTTTTTTCTTCTCAAATTCATTTTTCAGAATATCAAAAAGCCAACAAATAATGGGAGTATTATGCAATAGGGAAGTTATATTGCAATAATTTGTTTGCATTTTAATATTTTGATGACTTTTTTTAACATTTGATACTTTATGGTAGTGTGTCTAAACTCACTTTTCTCAAAACTTTTAATTTCAAGATACGACCTTGCAAAATTTGACACGAAAAGTTTATACCCTTGGTACAGCGATCCTCTTAAGTATTTCGAACTCCTGATAAATACTCACGAATTCTCCATTAACTACAATATTTTAAAGAAAAATTAGTAATAATAATATTCTCTTTTTATTCTCAATTCATATTCTGAAATAGAGGAAATCAGATTTTTTTTGTCTAAAGTTAATTTTTTAAATAAATATAAAAAATATATCGAGTTTCTAAAGGAAAAAGTGAAGATGGTAAGGAACCTTGAATTCTTCGGATTTTCTTAGGGACTAAAATAAAAATGTCTTTGGAAAGATTTAGAACTTTAAGAGCTTATTCGAAGAAAGTTCTAAAAAATAGTTTTTTAAATTTTATATATTTCGGGGGAAGATCTTATTTTAATCTTTACTAATTCTACAACATTAATTTATTTTATAAAGTCATTAAATTTCAAAGTTCTCAGCGGTAAAAAAACAACGAAAAGATCTTTGAGTTTTTTTTTCCTTCTTTTTTTGTGTAAAAGAAGGTTTCAACTGCATTTGGCAACCAACAGTCCATGATTAACTTTAGAAAGTCTTTCTTTTCCCAGCAAGTTACTATGCGTTAGTTTTGTCTACTCACAGCCATCAACAATTCTTTACTGTTTTTTGTACCGTTTGTTTTTCGCCACTAAAAACTGAAATTATAGCATTAAAACAATATTTTTCGAGCCGCGGTAGCTCAGTGGTTGAGCTGTCTTTGCAAAGGAGTGAGGTTCGATCCACGATGGCAGATTAAAACCCACTCAGCTTCATATCGATGGGTACCAGTTCGTCTGGAAAATTAATGCTGCCTGTGCGTAACGCTGATCATAGTCATGCGGTTGGTCTCCAAATTGTGGTACCAAGACCTCCTTGGCTTACAGCAGGCTTTCACGAGAATACTTTACTTTTCACTATAGTCGATAGGGTGTACAGATATATAAAGTGTAAAATAATATTTTACAAATTAAAATGATTTTTTTTCCATCTTAAAAAATAATTCTTGTTATCATCCTTACTCTGCATGTTATTTCGAATTTAATTCCGACCAGCATGACAGTTATGTATAAACTAAATACTACCTCAAATGGTTAAAATGCGAACTTTATGAAGCAAACAGATTAATTGACTTTCAGAATTATAGATTTTGTCAATTGAAACTTGTAAACCAAAAATAGAAAAGTCAAAGTATGATCTTTATTTCCTGTCGTCAGCTTCTACGCTAGTTTGCTCAAATTCACTTAAATGTCACTCAGAATAATTAAATTCACTCAATTCTCCATTTCGCGTTAAAATTTAGAAATTATTTTTCCCATGTGTGTGCAATATTTTACTTTCTTGTTTAACAGTGATCAATTCAATTAACTTTTTTATTTTTTTCAATTTTATAGATCCAGCTGCTGAAGAATTTTTGAAAATAGTAAATGCAGAAAATATAAAAGCCACGTACGTTCTTATTTTGAACATTCCTATTTAACATTTACATACACTTTTCAAAAGTTAAGGAATTAAAACAGCGTAATGACCTTAAGATATAATGAACCAAATCATGTAGTGAATTTTAATATGAAGGTGCATCAAAATTATGACAAAAAGGAAAAGACACGCTCTCAAGATCAGGAATTAACGAGCATCACAGTGAGATAGTGATGCAGTGGAGAAATTAATACGGGTTATTTCTCCTAGAGGCAATATTGGTTTCATAACGAACTTTCATGGTATTTGCGGGGAAATAAAAACACATTTGGAGAAAGAAATTTTCTTGATACTGTAAATCCCCATTCTTGCATTAAGGCCTATCTTAGCCTAAGGTTTCAAAGCGTCAAGCGCATTATTGCACACATGCTAGGTGGAAAACAGAGCTAGAGATTTGGATAGTCACTCCAACCTCTGTAATAACTTCTATTTTGAGGTATTCCTCAACCATAACCTGTAAGTACTGACTATTGATCAACAGCAGCTCCCTGAAAGATTTGCAGGTCTGTGCGGCTATCTAGAGTTCATTGAGATACGTCTATATCCCTCTGGAGGTCATACCTCACATAATTGCCATCTATAAGTGTCATTCTGAAAAATATCTTCTAAAATCTGTAAAAGTCATTTTGTTGCTTAATATTTTGTACTATCTAGATGTGATGTCCATGAACTTATGATCGGAAATATCCTTTCTGCTAACATCGTTTTTGTTTTACCTCCATGCATTCCCCCCCCCCAAAAAAAAAAACTCATTTGATTTGGTTCATTACTTCTTAGGTTATCGACAAAAAGGTGCTAATTCCTCAACTTTTACTCTTGAGTATAGTTGCCATTTTTAATCAATATGAATACTATCAGTTTCTTCTCGATTACTTTGTGAGTAATTGCCTGAGTAAGTCCTACCTTAAGTCACTGGTCCCGCAGTGGACTGATCGTTAAGACATGGTTCCCAGCAGATCACCGAAGTCAAGCATCACTGACTGCGGTCAGTGTGCGGGTGGGTGACCACTTGGATCAGTCTGCGTAGGGACCGAGGGTGAGCGGTATTCGTCCTCGTTAAACTGTTCTACCGTAAAGTGCTCGACTTCGCGTGCAGGTCGTCGGGCTACCGAAGCGGGGGTGCCATCCCCTCTGCGGAGGATCAAAATTGTGATGGCATGTCTTCGGATCATCCTCAGGGATGTTTCCCAGACCGTCGCCAATAGCCCATTGTGCAGCTCTAGTGCGACGTAAATGAACAAAAACAAACAAATACCTTAAGTCACTGATGAAATTTTATATAATAACGACGATCTCACTGATAATCGATCATATATGTGAAAACGAAGACATGTATATTTTCAAGAAGTTTGGAATCTCAAGAAATATAAATTAAATGTTGGCTTGCTTCGATTAAAAAAATAAACTTATGCAACCATCGATTACATCAAGCAATAAGGAATCAATAGATTTTACTCGTTAGAATAATTTTAGCTATTACTTCAATATTCTTGATTGCCTTAAAAAAATTATAATTTTTAAAAAAAATTTTAATTTTGAAAAAAAGGAAAAGATTGTTAAAAGAAAGAAGCATATACCTTCTTAATGGGCTAGAAATTAGATAGAATTTAGTGCTATAAAATAAGTAATGTGGCATTCAAGAGAGCCAAAAAATAAACGCTGAAATATTAAATAATGAAGCTAACTCTCTAAACTAACTTGAAAACTAAGGTGCTATAAATTTTTTATAGCCACCAANAAAAAACTCACATTTGATTTGGTTCATTACTTCTTAGGTTATCGACAAAAAAGTGCTAATTCCTCAACTTTTACTCTTGAGTATAGTTGCCATTTTTAATCAATATGAATACTATCAGTTTCTTCTCGATTACTTTGTGAGTAATTGTTTGAGTAAGTCCTACCTTAAGTCACTGATGATAATATTTAAAATAATAACGACGATCTCACTGATAATCGAGCATATATGTGAAAACGAAGACATGTATATTTTCAAGAAGTTAGGAATCTCAAGAAATCTAAATTAAATGTTGGCTTGCTTCGATTAAAAAAACAAACTTATGCAACCATCGACTACATCAAGTAATAAGGAATCAATAGGTTTTGCTCGTTAGAATAATTTTAGCTATTACTTCAATATTCTTGATTGCCTTAAAAAAATTATAATTTTTAAAAAAATTTAAAATTTTGAATAAAAGAAAAAGATAAATATAAATTCTTAATGGGCTAGAAATTAGATAGAATTTAGTGCTATAAAATAAGTAATGTGGCATTCAAAAGGGCCAAAAAATAAACGCTGAAATATTAAGTAATGAAGCTAACTCTCTAAACTAATTTGAAAACTAAGATGCTATAAATTTTTTATAGCCACCAAGGCTAGAGATATTTGTCTGTTCAGAATCCGCCCATGAAATAAGCTTTAACTCATTAGAAAATCGTCATTAAAAAAATGCAACTTAATATAGGAAAAACGTTAATGAGGATACATAGGAGGACGTCCTGAGGAAGCATAAACTAAGACGGAAAGATTAAAAGTGAACAATTAAAAAGAGATTATTCGAAACACCTCCAAGTTTGTATTTTCATCTCGCTTCCTCACTAGTGATTCAACAGTTAACACTTTCAATAACTGTTTTGCCTTTTCCTTGCATCAATATTAATTTGTAACTTCTAATGTGTATGCCTTTTTCATTTCATTTATGTATCAAGGTATTATCAAGGAATAAGGATGGTAACTTTAGAACACCGTCTGTGTTCAAAGAGCACCTGCTTGTTGTTCTTGTTCAAAGAATTGTTAGCGTCGTTTTCTGAAGTTAAGAAATAACAGTGAAAAAGGCGTGCGAATACAAGACGCATTTTAAATTCAACCGTCTGAAAATTTCATCGTTCATCAAATTTACCTTTTTAATTTATTTTAATTTTTATAAGCTATAAGGAATCATATAGTTAGCTGCTGATAACATATTTGCAACACATATTTTAATTAGCTGTTTGCAATTGAAGAGCTAAAGCTTTACTTAAACACGCGAATAATTTTCTCGTATCAGCTTTACTAAGACAGATCCAGAATGGTTAAATTATGACAAATGCTATTTTCGCAGTTCCGCAAAAAAAAAAGTTTTGCTTGTTGACTGTATTTATAATTTATTTAGGAATGTATTTCAGTAAGCTAATAACAAAACAAAATTTTTTCTGTGAGCTCCTTTTTTTAAATCCACCGTAGGTCTTCGAAATGCATCAACTTCTTTTTTGTGAATTCAGCATAGTTTTGATAATACTCTAAAATTAGAATGATAAAGTTGTTGTTGTTGTTCTTCCTTTACGTCACACTAGAGCTGCACAATGGGCTATTGGCGACGGTTTGGGAAACATCCCTTAGGATGATCCGAAGACATGCCATCACAATTTTGATCCTATACAGAGGGTATGGCACCCCCGCTTCGGTAGCCCGACGACCTGCACGCGAAGTCGAGCTCTTTACGGTAGAACAGTTTAACGAGGACCAATATAGAATCATAAAGAAAATAATTCTAATATTTTAAATGATAACACCAAATAAAAGGTGTATCGGGCGTTATTATTGTTTTATTAAAATTACGTACGTTTACAGGCTTATGTGCTCAATTTAGGCTTATAAGCTTTTGTCAAGTAGAAGGATAGATAGAACATTTCAGAGAAGGACATCAGTACGAATATCTTCAGGGTTACTGTGGGATTTGAACCCACCACCTCCGCTCTTCATGCAGCGTTTGGCGGGTGATACCGCACGGCCAAAAAGCCCCGTGTGTGTCCGGCAAGCAATGTCACTGAATTTATTGTGTAGCTGAACTCGTTTCATAACACTCAAACTGGTTTAGTCGAAAAATGGAGCAGTCAGCTTACGCATGCGTGTTTGTTCAATATTTTCTGGGGTATCCATAGAGTGAAAACAGGGCATCACCAGAATGTCATGCCCTTCATGTGATTTACGCTCTTCCGATCACTGTAGATGGAGTATAAGAACCTCATTGGTAAAATACATTCTCCGACGGAAAACTCGTCAATCATGTCTTTTTCTCTTGATAGCATTCGCAAGTGCAGAAATCGCAAGCAGTAAGAATGGCCGTTTAAGTCCTTTGTGCAAGCCTCTTTACTAAATCAATTGTTCCGAAAGGATGTTTTTGTACTGAAGTTTTCAAATGCCGAAACAAAAGAAATCAGAGGGGGCTACGTACTTAAGTACTTAACTGTAAAGTTACGAAAAACCGCTAGTACTTTCTAAAAATTGGGTCACAAAAGCGGAGTGGCAAGGAAAATGGGTAACAGATTAACACGACAAGCATGAAATTGGAACAGAAAACAGAGCAGTAACACTCTGAAAACGAAGTAATATGTTGTTATGGAGAAGTTTTCAATTGACTGCGGTGTCACTGCGGTATATATTAGAATGTTTAATGTCATTAAATGAATTCCCAAATGTCACACGCGTCATATTGTTATTGGTCGTGGGCATTAATTGACTTCCAACACGAAATTCATCACTGGCTTCTTCGCTATCTTTAAAGAATTTAATGTCCCCCTGATAGATTTGGTCTACCGACAAACAACTAGCAGCAAAGGTCATCTTTATCACGGAAAAATCTCTTGCTAAATTTCATATCCAACCAACATGAAAGTCATAAGTGATGACTGGCATTACAACCAAAAACGAATGCTTGTCTTTACTCCTCAGGTGATCGAAGACAAGTGAGTGACAAAGTATCCCTAAGATTACCAGCCTCTTTACCGATCCCACTGGACATATGAGTCATAAATTAAATTAAGTGACATTACTTTATGAGCAATCTATATCAATTTAAAATTAAAGAAATTTCTTTTTTCGTTTGCTGAACTGAGAATTTTAAATATTTAGTAATTTAGGCTGCGATGTGAACTTCCTAAGGTATACAGATAAATGAAATCTCTTTTGAAATCAATGTAAGAATATAGCCAAAATTAGTTTCAAAATTTCCCGCACCAGACAGAAGAAATTTAATTATAAGCTTGTGTAAGTGATTCATTTTGTTCCCGCATTAGTGCTGTTTCAAAGCTTCAATTAAACAAAAACTATTTTTTTAAAATTTAAATGGAATGTATATATATTTTTAATAGGTACAAAATAATACAATTCATTAAGTTATTTATATTATAGACACAGGCTTTGTTAATTTTGCCGTTTCATTTTATTCGAATCGCAATTTATACGGTTGTGGGTTTATCCATTCAAGATTTCAAAAATGTCTCTTTCCAAATTTCATGCATCACATTCTTTCTCAACATTTTGAAACGTTGAAGTTATTTATTTTATTTCCACTGTAGTATTCCATTAAATATGCTGTGATTACCACGACGAGCTTTCGAAAAAAGTATATTTCAGAGATATATGCTCATCTGTAGAATTTTATTTCTCCAGCAACAAATTTCATATCCTTTTTTCATTTTAAAATCAAAATAAAATTTTCGTTTCGTTTTGTTAATCCAAAGTTTCGTATGACTTTGGCTAACATAGAATATAAAAAACAATGCCTGAAAACCATTTTCAGAATTTTTTTTCGTAACAAAATCCTCCACAAAATTCTTTTATGATTTCTACTACATAATACTTCTTTCAGCCATGAACCACAGGAAAAAAGTGATCCCAATTGTACTCTTCAATTTCATGAGTGCACCAATAAGAGGCATAGTTGCTGTAGAAGTATGTTCAAGCTCGAATGTACATGCATGTACCCAGAACCGAACGAAGGTGTTATTCCTGGAGAGACAGAATTTTGCACTTGCCAGAAGCCCTGGGAAAAGGAAGTAATTGAGACATCTGTTCATTATCTCAAGAAACTTGGTTTTTGAATGGAAATAAAAGTCGATCAATAAAAAAATAACGAAATTATGGCCTGTTGAATTTTATTTCCACATGCATTTTGTGTATTAATACTGGTCTTTTAAACAGAAAAAAAACAGGCCCGTTTCTTAAGAGCAAATACAGAACTTGCTATTTGATGAATTAAATTGGCATTTAATAATTAAAAATGACTCCTACCTATGACAACGCTTCGTATGTTTTCCCTATTAGCGAGTGGATAGTCATAGGAGAAGGAAGTAAGTTAATCTTCGTCCTTATTTTTAAATAAATTAAAACTAAACATAGTTCTAAAAGAAAGCGTCATCGAAGTTTTGGAATATATTTTTGACAATTTAATTGCAAAAAATATTATATAAGGGGAAAATATCCTAGTAGATTCCATTTACAACTGAAAGGAGGAGGAGGTGGGAAAGGGGGAGAGTCAAGGCATGTAAAAGGTCTTTTCCCTCCCTAGAGGACGAATTCGAGCATTGCAATCACAAATATAAACACAGAGTTTGTGATAATGTATTATAAATTGTGATGCTATTTTTCTACATTTCAGAAAGTTCATAAAAATATTATAATTTGATTATTGAAGTTTAAACAGAGAGAATGGTCGATTCTCTTCAAATATATTTTAAGAGTCCACACGAATGTCCACAGAAAATATTTCAAGTGTGAAAAAACGTTACTTGATAAGTAAGGAATTTCTTTTTTTTTCTAACAATGAACAGAAAGTATTATTTTTGCAGAGATTCAAAAGACGAATGCATCAAAAAACACTATGAATGTACCAATGATCGGAACAACTGCTGCTACGGCCGTTTCTTACAGCTTTCGTGTCACTGCTATGAATACCATGACGAAGAAGAGAATATGAGCTCAAGATGCAAATGTATGAAACCACCTTACCAAAAAGCTCTAGAATTTGGTTTTAACATGTGGAATTTCTTCGTTGGAAAATGAATAAATGTAGTTGAATAAAATATTTGCCAGATCATATAAATATTTCTTATTTTGAATTAAAACATTTAGTGAGTTCAGTAGAAAAATCTGGGGGGAGATGAAATTACTCGGGCTGTAGTATTATTTTATTCTTAGTTAATTTTTAGTTCACCAAGATTAAATATTTCGCTGATCTCAGTAAAGGGTGGTAAAAACTGATAATATTTCGAGTTCTTATTTTTTTTTTTTTTTTTGGAGTGAAGAATATTCTTAGCGCATTTAAATTAAAAAAGTTAAATAGCAACCTAAGAAAACTTTTCCTTTGGTAGCAAATTAAAACACCAAGAGTGCGAATGCTGTAACGCGAACTGTTAAATTAAGTATTAATGAATTATAAAATTCATTATTTGGAAGCATTCTGACCAGAAACAAATGAAAAGGCATAAATCCCATATTTCTTATTAATAACATAAAAACTTCAAAGCTAGTTTACTGAAATTCAACAAAATGACGATTAAAACCTTCATATCATAGGTTACACCAGTAGCAAATTAAGTTCATCAGTAAAAATTAAATATTAGAAAAAACAAAGAGTGGAATTGAACAAATTACTTTAGTTTTCTTGAGATGTGAAATATTTTTGTTAGATTTGTAAAAAAATTCACTCCGCACATAAACGTGTACTTTTAGAGCACATATACGATGGTCATATTGTTCATTTAATATGAAATTTAAAATAGAAAATTCGACTTGAGTACGTGTCAATAAAAATTAATTGAAAATATATAAGAATAAAAATTCTGAACTTTAAGAATACTTTTACCTCCCCAGATCCAATGCTTAATATATTGGTCAATATTTATATACACTACACACTGATAAAAAGAAATCGCTAAAAAACGTACAAAGGTCTGACAGAAAGTTTCAGATTCATTTTTCTGTTTTACCATTACAAATCGCAGTTTTTTTCACAATTGCATTCGCATGTGATCATATAAACGAATCGTTTGTTGAGATTATTGCTTTATAGGGGTCCATTTTTCGGCATTATTTCTTTAAGGGGTCTATTGTGTCCCTGGTTGACTGCTCTCACAGTTTCCTCAAACATTCTGCAACGTGGGAAGTAGCGGATTCAAAACCAGCCGTAATCCTGAATGTATCTTTGCGTTGTTTATCCCCAATTTGTATCCTCTGTTTTTTTAACTTGAACATTGTTTATAAACTCTACTTGATAAAGATAAAGACCACACAAGGCTGCATATATATGAGCAATAAAAAATAAATAAATACGACAGGAGGGTTGAAAGCAACCTTCTAACATCACAATCTTGCAAAAATTAATGCGTGAAAATTAACGAAAAATAAACACGTGATGAGCAGAGAGCCAATAATTACGCACCTAAATTCCATTCGCAACAGAAAGAAGACGCAATTTGAGAAATGTGGTCGCAATATTTTAGTCGTGAGAACGGCCAAAAGCTTGAACCCCTTAATGATAATTTACTTTTCGCCATATCTCCAGCAATTTAAGTGAATTTGATCTAAGCAAATAGTTTTTTAAGCGATTTGAAAAACTTTTGCACACAATTATGAAATTTGTTAACTCAAACATAATTCCATTCAAGAAATAAACTTTAAAATTTTTTTATTATTTTTTCTTATTTTATTTAATAGGGGTCAAAAGCATTTTGAATTGTATGGCAAACAAATTTTTACATCATTTTAAAAAATGTAATTTTAAATGGCAAAATACTAAATTTGAATGAAATCTATCTAATAATCCCTGAGAATTGAAATATTTAAAATGAATATAATCTAAAGGTTGTCCCCCTCACTTCGTCATTCTTGTACGAGCCACTTAATGGGTTTGCTAGGTGTTTATTAAAAAATAAAATAAGATTATAAACCGATTCCTAATTAGAAACCTACTTTCTCTTTTCTTTTGTGCAGATTCATTTATTTATTTATTTATAATTTTAAATATTATTGAGATAGGTAGTGTTTTCTTTCCTTTTTATCAACAGAAATTTTTTAAAAATACTTAAAGAATAATATTAAAATAAATGTTGCCTTTGCTCTTGATATATCTTCAAAGAAAGTTTTTGATTCTTTCATGAAAATATATTTTAATATTCGTAAGTATACATTTTAATGTTCTGCAAAAATATTTTTGATTCTTTGTTAAACTTTAATATTTTATATTTTTTTACGATGCTTGGTTAAATAAAGTTAGAACATAAATTTGACCTTTTTATTTATTTATTTTTCTTCTGAATTTGATCCTAATTAATTTGAAATCTGACATGAAAGTAGTTGTGTATTCACGATTCTCAGAAAAAGAGTGTTAAAACACTTTTTTTCTTCATATTGCATTCAGTAAATATTTTAAAAGACATAGATTCCTTATAATACATTGCTTATAGCAATTAAAAATTAAGTACCTGTTTTTCGAATTCAAACAAAAAGCACCATGCTAAAACTGACAGTTGAAATATTCATCTTCAAATAATTTAAGCAAACAATTTTAATTTTATATAATATTTCAAATTTGCTGAAATCAACTTTGATGAAGATAGTTTTGCACCTATTTATAAATTTCAAAAAAAATCCTTGATTCAAATTATAAATTAATATTTTCCATAAATATATGGTGTCCTTAAATCATAAAATTTTTCGATGTTGCTGAATTGATTTGTCCTCAAATGTTTGGTTTTCAAGTTAGGTAATCTTTTTCACGCTGAATGAGATTCAAGCTCCTTCGATCGCCGTCGTGGGACGATGAGATGTAATTCGTGAAAACAATTTTCTCGCGATAAACAATTTTTTCGCCAATCAGCTTATCAATCAGTCAACCATCCATCTTCCTTCACGGTGATCGGAGATGCATGAATCTCATAACAAGAGAATGGTCCTTAAGATTTTGCACATGCGTTTAAGAAAATGTGATGCAGTAAGAATGGTTTGTACTTGCTATTAAAAATAATTACTTGATGTAGTTCAGTCTTATAAGTGATTATGAACTGAAAAGATATCAAATTTTATTATTGTATGTTTTGTGTTTGGTTTCTTGACATAAGATATTGTGCAAGAAGATTATTGGAAGAGAATCTCTTTACCTAATTATTAGATTATTTCTAATTTGTTCCATTTACTCATTGCCGTTACTTATACTGTATAATTATATTCAAATTGAATTATTGTTTTAATTGAATCGATGTGTCGAAGTTTCTGCTATGAAGTATAGTGTTATGTACATTTGTAGGGATTGAACTTCGTCGTAATCCGTCGTGTATTGGATTAGAAATTAATACGTTGCGATTTTTGAATTGATAAGGTGCTTCTAACATGATGAATATAAAGACTTTTCAGAGCACATTCTTTGTTCTCATATTTAAATCACTTTTTGTGGTCTTACTCTTTCGATCTGCTTTTTGCGCCCCAGTGAACTCTACTATATCTAATATATCGTATGATGCATTTTTAAAAAATGTTACTAGAGATAATTGCGTTTTCCCTAAGGGGATTGTTCTTCCACTAGAAAACTCACTTGACACTTTTCAATATTTTTCTGAACTCTTAAAAATTTGTAAAGCTCCTGAAGCTATGAAACGTTCTCTGGAGGCTATTACGTTGTGCAATGAAATTTATGATGCTTTAAGAAACATAACCTGCCAATCAAACAAAGATGTTGAATTTCCTGAAATAAAAATTGAATTCTCAGATAATGTTTGTAAGGATATCAATTCTTTGCAACTTGAGCACACACTTGAAGAGAAAGGCCTGCTGCAACATCTTACAGATAAGTTCATTTGTCAAATGATGTGTGAAGATGATTTCTTACCTGCTTGCAGAATGTTATTGTGGAGCTTTCAGCTACTGAAACGAATAGAAGGTGAGTATTTGATCTATTTACCATAAATCAGGGTTGCAAAAAACCTTATTTTAAAAAAGCTTATATTAATATTCATAAAGTTTAATTTTATGAATTGACTTAACATATAGGTAATTAAAGTGTAATTTTGCTAATACAAATAAATTACTGTAAAAGTCTGAAAAAAGTTTCTTCACGATACAAAATGTTATCTGTACTCACATACATCACACATTTGAAACTTATTTTAGCACTGGATTACTTTTTATTTATATCTTAAAAAAATATTTGAGAATTTTTTTTTTGCACAGAAAGCAAATGAAGGGCAATCAAAGGTGTCACGACCCCCCACGCCAAATTGAAAAAAAAAATAAAAATAATATTTTCTTAATAGTTTACAAAAGAAATAAAATATTTTAAAAATTATTTAAATATACACCTAGCATGGTTGTCAAGTTTCTGCCAAGGTGGTTAAAACCACTGATAGAAACCGGTTAAAACCGGCATGGCAAAAACCCTTTTCTGCCGCATTTGTGGCAGAAATTCAGAAAATGACATAAAAGTAAGAACTGAGATTGACATATAATGGATTAATTCATAGAAAAAACAATTAAATGTTAAACAAAGTACAATTTATTTACGAAATTATCACCATTCAAAATCAAGTATTACATTGTTTGTACTCTGCAGTAATATATAACAAAAGACAAGTTTTGAGGCAGTTTCTAAACCTAAACAATTTCTCAATTTGCTATGCACCAGCGAGAAATTTGAGAAGATTCTCTCAAGTCCAGCAGAACTCGCAGGCATTGCCATCCACAAGAGATTAAAACTGTTACTGTTATAATAATTGGATTGTTGCCATGCAAATTATGTCTTGAAAAGAAAAAAAATATTTGAAAATAGCTCTATTCAGTTATGTTAAGAGTTAAATTATAATAATAACTGAATTTCAGAATTTAATATAAATAAACTAAAATCTAGTATTTACATTTATTATTACATTACTTTATTCTTCATTTTATATAAATATTTGACATACTGCACTCTTTATATTTAATATAAGCAAAATAATATATATTTACAAACAATGAATTAAAAAGTTAGTTACATGGAGTTAAAGTTTTCAGTTTACTTAAACAAAATGTCATTAAGCAATTACTAGAACTAATATATAAAGTTTTTTTAGTTTCTGCCACTGGCATGGCAAAAACCAGCTTCTGCCTGCAAAAAGCCAACCCTTACACCTAGGTAGGTCGGAAAAGCGATTTTTTCCCCCTCCATCTAATTATGTTCTTCACTGTTTCAAAAATCATAATAAAAAAGATTAAAACGAAATTCGTCATAGTTTCATTGTAACATTAATAATATTAAAGTGCGCTTCAACAGGTTTAACCAAAGTTAAAAATGCATAACATTTATTATTTAAAGACTTTGAATCAGGGTTGGGTTTTTGCCGTCAAAAACTGGTTTTTGACATGACAGTGGTAAAAACCGTGTTTTTACCGGTAAAAACTGTCAAAAACCTACCGTTTTCTTTAATTTATGGCATATATCGGACAATATATTATTTTCACATAATTGCCTTTATAAATGAATGTTGTAAATGATTGATTTTGAATGAATGTTGAATGATTCCTTTATAAATGAATGTTGTAAATGATAGTTGTAAATGATTGACTATTGATTTTGCAACTATATACATGTATTTTTATAGAAGGATATACATTCATATCGAAATGTTGTAATATACTTATTGAAAATAGTGATACTTTCTTTTATCATTATAGCTTGAATTGCAAAGGATTCAAAATTTTGCACTTCTTAATTGTTAGAAATTAATAAACAAACAAAAAACCTTGGAACTATTAATAAATTCAAGATAAATTCAAGATATTAATAAATTCAAATTTGGCATTTCTTAAATATTAAAAATAAGCTAAACAAAACTTTCAAAACTTGTAACTACTAACAAACTCTAAGCTAAGAATGACTTGACATTCTTCAGTACTGTTATATGGCAAACAAAATGATGCTTGGAAATGTTGAAAATTTAGTTTAGTTTCCTAATATTTTACTTCAAATAGCATGTTTTGATTAATTGTGTTGGGAAAATGCAAGAATCTGTTCTTAAATATCTTTTAACAGCTTTTTTTCTAATTTTATTGCCCAAAAAGGAATTAATTTTAATTATAAGCAGTTAAACTCAAATAAAAATACAGTTTTACCAGAACTATGTGTTTTTGACATTTTTGACAGAGGGTTTTTTGACATGACAGTAAAAACCGTCATGTGTCAGAAACTTGCCAACCCTGCTTTGAATACTTGAATTATTTATGTCTTGTTCTATTGTTCATTATGAAAAAAATAAATGAGAAGACTAGCATTTAAAACCTCAATTTTTTTTTTTTTTTTTAAATTAGTGACTATGACCCTCCCCAGTAAAAATTTCTGGATCCGCCCCTGGTAGTCACCCCTTTGCAGTACCGTCTTTACGCATGGGCATACCCGGGCAGTGCCCGAGGGCCTCATGCACTCAGGGGGCCCTTGAGAATCTTACTTTTTATAAATTGTATTAAAAAAACTAAGACTAAGCAAAATTACCTTATATATATTTTCAAAATAAATATATTATATCGTATAAAGGATCTATTTTGTTTTTCTTTCTACAAATAGTGATTGATTATCTCGCAAACAACAATAATTTGAATAGTTTATCGCCGGGGAAACCTAAAAAGGCAACTGAAATCTATTTTTCTAAGTTACAATGAAATTTTTAAGTGAATTCAGTTTTTTTGGGTTTACTAAAAACAAATTTAAATACATTTAAATCAAAATGTATTTAAATTTGTTCAAATTATTGCATGTGTTAAAAGTGCTTTATTTTATGTATGTGAAGTTTTTTAGTTTGATTTTAAGCAGTATGACATGCTATAACTGTCCGAAACATTTCTTTGCCCAGGGGCCTTGCATGCTATTAAGACGGCCCTGCCCCTTTGTTTAGTGACCTTAATGTTTCCTCCTGAAAAATTAGGTGATTGAAAAAATAGTGGCAAGATAGTGCTAAGTAACACTCAACAAGCTTTAACTGTGTTCAATAAGGGTTTGGAAATTGAATCTTACAAATTTACATTATGAAATAATCAAAGTTCTACCTATACGGTGCTACCTTTTAGAAAAAAGGCATAAGTTTTGAAAAGACACCCTTTCGAAACCATAAAAGTGTATCAAAATGTGTATCATATTATGTAATTACTAAATTTGATCTTCAACAATTTTTAAAGTGCCTTCTTATACTATTTAATGCGTAGTATATTTCGAAAAATAATTTTCCCTCATTATCTGAAAAAGAGAATAATTTAATTATTTTTAGTTAATAAAAATAATTAAAGGCATGCTAATAGATAAACTCTGGGCTTAAATTTTTTCAAACAAAAGTAAACTAAAAATTTTTTTAATTGATTAACAACTTGAAAGATTTTTATGTAATTTAAACTGAAAATTATGTGAAAATAAACACAAAAGGTTGCATTTTTTTTTAAAAAAAAGGTTATTAATTTAAAAAATAATTTTTAAAAAAACATTAAAAATTTTCTTAAAAAAGAGATACAGTACGGAACCCGTTATCCGGAATTCAGAAAAACGGAAAACCAAAAAACCGGAACGAAATTCGATACATTTTCCCGCCATTTAAAAAAAAATAATAATTTTTTCCTCATAAAATTTTAGGATTTTTCTTTCTTTTTTGAAAGATGTTTACCTTGCAATTATTTTGGAAATAATCATTAGTGTATTACTTCAACGTTTTTTCTTCTTTTTAAGATTATTACCAAATATTTTTTTTTTAGTTGGGTTTAAACAATAAAAAAAACGTCTTTTTGTAGCGATTCAGAAAACCGGAAAAATCAGTTATCCGGAATAGCGATGGTCCCGATCGTTCCGGATAATCGGTTCCCTACTGTACTTATAAATATTTAATGAGTTGGGAATAATCCTAACAATGTAAATATTAGTAATTATAATCAGAATTAAACCTATGAACACAGATAATTTTACCAGTGTGTAACTTATTTAAACAGTGAATTATTTTATTTAAAAATGGAATATGAATAAAAAGGCAGTGTTTGTAAGGGGTGGGTGACTTATTTTTAAGAGCAAAGAGGGTGCATTTATAGGGATCAAAGGACGGGCAGTGCAGACCACCCTTCTGAAATAGTTAAACTGATTGTTAATTCTTAAAAATGAAGTGTAGTGGTTAGTTACTCGTATTAGCAAGGAAATTCCGACATAATATCCTGTAGGTATATTTAAAACTTTTTAAAATTTTGTTCAAGATTTGAAATATCCATTGTATGCAAAACTTGTTATAATTAAAAATCATTATTGGTCTAAAATAACCAAAAAGAAAAAAATGCTAAATAAAAATGTTTACTTAGTAATGTAGAATAAAATTTTAATTTTAATAATATTTTAATTTATTTCAAATTATAATTGGGATTTTTTCTTCTTCAGGAATTCCACTTGTACAGACAAGTAATTCCACAAGTACAGAAATTCCACTTGTACAAGTTTTGCTTACAATATCCATTGTATGCAAAACTTGTTATAATTAAAAATCATTATTGGTCTGAAATAACCAAAAAGAAAAAAAATGTTAAATAAAAATGTTTACTTAGTAATGTAGAATAAAATTTTAATTTTCAATTTTAATAATATTTTAATTTATTTCAAATTATAATTGGGATTTTTTCTTCTTCAGGAATTCCACTTGTACAGACGATCCAACGAAACTCACTCAATCAAGAAAACAATGCTGATGGTGGTAAATATAAAGTTTCAGTTTCGTTGATATTGAATTAAAAATATTGCCTTGTTAAATTACATAACTTGCCTTGTTAATTATTTGATTTATTTTTTACAAAACAAGAAAATAAACTTCCTTATTAATATTTTATTTAAAAAATAATTTAAATTTTTTTAAAGTAAATCATTTCACTTGAATGTTATGCAGTGTCTCTCTATTTTTTTGTTACTTTATGCTATATAAAAGTATATAGGGTAGGTTGACTACTAAGCAGTCTTGTTCGTGAAAAATGAAAAATAAATTTTTTAATTTCTTAGTTAATTGTGAAAATGTTGGTTGTGATTGTGCTATATTTTATAAATTTTGTTTGCTTATAAATATATATTATATTAAAATTGCATGTCCTATCTAACTGCAATTTTATAATGCTAATTAAATATTTTAATAGTGAATTAAAAATCAATAGATAATCATTAATAATAGTCAAATAATAACATAAGAGTTTCACAATATAATACTACAGCAATGTCTGTGGATCTGCTTCTGCTAGCAGTGGTTAAATTAAGGTGCTCATCTTAACAAAATTTACAGCTTTGTAAGGATAACCTATGATAAATTTGTATTAAGTAATACACCTCTGATTTAAAATATGAGAATAATTAAAAAATTTGACATTAAAAAGCCTCTTATTGATTACTTATTGATATTTTCTGTTTTTTAATTTTCACTTAAATTAAATTACGTATTTAACAAATCGAATCTATATATATTTCACAGTATTTTTGAGCATTAGAAAAATCAAAGTAAAACATAAATCAATTTGACAATTTATTTTTAACAAAAAAATTTAAATATTATAATAAAATTTAATGTGGTCCAAAATTTTAGAATATTTTATTATATACACTAAAAATCAATGAATGGAAAAAGTTTCTTAATATTTTGAAGCTTTAGCTTTGATCACTGCATACAGATGATCTTGCATAAAATAAGCAAGCTTTTTTGTCCACTTAAGTAAAAAAAAAAAAAAAAATTATGCTCCCCACTAGCTCAGATTTTTTTGTAGGGGTAACTTCTTTCAGTTTTTTCTTTATTACCCCCCTATAAATTAGCAATTAGTTTAAGAGCTGGGGAATTAACTATTCACAGTAGCACTGTAATTTTACATTGCTCCAGCTTGATCTTATTTTGCTTTGATCTACAAGGCAAAAATAAATTTTTTTCGAAAGTAAAATCATCCTAAAACTCCAAGAAGTTGCTCTTACAAACAAATTTGAGCTAATGGTGTTCATGGTGAAGTGGTCTCCTTGAGCTAATGTTCTACTTCGGCTAGTGTAGACAAAAAAGAAGTTTGCTTATTTTATGTAAGATCGTTTAAATGCAGGGATCAAAGCTAAAGGTAATGTTGCAGAATATTATTTTTTTTTTCTCCAATTATAATTGAATCTTAGTACTTATAATGAAATATTCTAATATTTTGGACCACATGAAATTTTATTCTAATGCTTTCTATTTTCCTGAAGTAAATTGTCAAACTAATTAATGCTTTATTTTGATTTTTTTTAATGTTTTAAAATACTGTGGAATATGTAAACTGGATTTGTTAAATTTGTAATTCAATGTTAATTAAGTGAAAAAAAATTTATAAAATAATAAATTTAAATATAAATTTTTTAATTATTCTAATATTTTGAATCAAAGGTGTATTATTTATATGCCTCTTATTTGCAATAAATTGAGCTTTTATATCAATTAATAATAATTTAATTATTTTTTACTATAAAAAATTATTAATTTGTCTGAATTAAAGGATGAAATATATGTACAATGCTAAAAAAATGAGCACCCTGAGTAGCTTTTGATCTAATGACCAGATTTTCAAGTCATAGGATGGTTTGAAGGCCTAAATTTAAGTATCCTGAATAATTAGGGCAAATCTAACTTAAAGTTAAGAAACCAGATACACTCACATACTTTCCCTGAATAAACCTACTTCTTTTTTTAATTTAAAAAATATCTTTTAATTTACTGTGCATAAAAATATGGTTTTTATTTACAGTGCATAAAATAGTCTCAATAGTTTAGGCAAGAGAGCAGCCAAAAGTTAAGGCTTCTTAATCTTAATTTCATTTTTTGCACAGTTTTCTCTATCTCAAGAACTTTTTAAGTCAATCTAAAAGTATTTACACACAATTTTAAATCAATCTTAAGACAATTTCATAAGGCGCAAGTTTTAATAATGATGGATATAATTATTTATCTAAAATTATATTTAAAAATTTATTATTTTTTTAATCATTAGAAAAAACTTTTAAATATATGTTAATATATAAATGCATTTTAAAATCTAACTATTTTTAAATGATAAAACTTAAACTAATTCGGTGGTATAGTTCGGAATTATCCTATATTTAAAATTTTATTTTTTGAGAAGTATTGGAACGATTTCTTTCAAATGTTTATTTGGTGATTTAAAATTTCATCCTTTAAGATGATATAAAAATTGGTTTACCTTGCAATTCAACATATTTTTTTGGATTACTATTTAGTAAAATAATAAATATCTGTTAAAAATTATTTTTTACATAGAATTATTTTTGTATAAGCAAATTTTATATTTAAAATTGTCTTGCCTTCAAACCATTATTATTAAGTCATATTAACTGAAAATCTAGTCAATAGATAAGATTTTCATTCATTCATCAAAAGTCATTCAGGTTGTTTACTTCCTTTTATATATTATATATGTATATAATATTTTATAATTAACACTTGAAGTATTGCCCTTTTAGCTATTCTTAAAAAAATTAATTTTTTATAGCTGGTTTTCAGCTTAAAAGAGATATTTCTGCTTCTATTCTTTATTAAACTTTTGAAGCTAATTTTTGATTAAGTGCCAATTTGTAAAATTTTAAAATGTTTTGTGATTAATTTTTCATATTCTTCTTTTTAAGGAAAAGCAAGTATTGCCAAAACATTAAAGCCTAACAACAAAGATTCTGAAATTGATAAAAAGCAGGAACCATTAAACCCTGATGATGCTCCTGTTGAAGGTACGAGACAAAAATTACCAGTTATATTTGCAAACTATCCACATATAAATATTTTTTAATGAATGTGTTTTTAAGTACAGAAATATTTTGTTTTAGAAAATTTGGACAATAAAATAGATGGAGATCTACAAATTGTTAATGATGGTAAGGATATAATATTTTTGTATAGTCAATTAATATTTCTTTCTTTTAGCAACTTGTTTTCTTATGTATTTAGTAACGAATTGTTGATGAAAATGGCAGGAGGTTGACTTGTTTAAACCACAGTTTTATTTTTCAATTGTTTATTTTAAAGTTTTTTTTTAAAATTATTTATATTAATAATTTTACTTTGAATAGAATCAAATTAAAAAAATATTAAATTTCCTCATAAAAGTTTTCGATTTTTAAGTTAAAATACTGATAGGAATCTGCATTTCTTTAAATAATTAGAAATACCGTATATTCCGGCGCAAAACGCGCCCCGGCGTATAACACGCATCCGTAATTTCCAATAACTTTCTTTAAATTCTGAGATATACTCTTCGTATAACGCACACGAAAATTTGGATTGTACATGTGCAATATCTCGTCTAGTATCTATAGAAAACTAGAAAGCCTTTTAGTGTGGGACATGTTTTGGTCCCACCTTACAGATAATACAAAAAAGTTTTTGAAAGTATGTAACACTGATATGGCAGTTATTCCGGGCGGATTGACACCATTAGTTCAGCCATTGGACGTCTGCTTAAACAAACCATTTAAAGCCAATTTAAAAAAACAGTGGAACACTTGGATGTTGGAGGGCGAGAAAACCTTTACGAAAGGAGGACATATGCGTCATGCAAGTTTGGAAACAGTGTGCGAATGGATATTAAAAGCATGGGATGAAATTAAGCCTGAGATGGTTAGAAAATCATTCAAAAAATGCAGCATTTCAAATAATCTGGACGGATCAGAAGATGACTGTTTATTTATGGATGAGGGTAACACAGATGATGAAGACGAAACAGATTGTGATGACGTGCCTGAAGAAATAACGGAAGACGAATATAATGAACTATTTATGTAATAACGAAAATCAATAAAGTATATAGGTAAAGGTATGTTATTTCTTTAAAATAAAAGTATTTTTCTATATTTAAATTTTTTTAATCTATAATTTTTTATATTCGGCGTATACCGCGCACCCGAAAATTCCAATGTTACTTTTTGTATTAAAAGTGCGTGTTATACGCCGGAATATACGGTATATAATTTTGAAGTGTTTACATGTCATAGTTTTCCTACAAAAATATCCATAAAAATAAATTGACGTGAGCACTATGCTCTAAAAATGCCTAAAATAAAAAACAGCATTTTCAAATCCATTTTTTGTTATATTTTAAAAATTAGTTAATAGTGTAATTAGTTAGTATTGTAATTATTAGTAATAGTGTAATTATTAGTTAAATAGTGTAACAAATTTATATAGTATTTTTATTTTATCCATTTTTGTAATATTTTCAAGAAATTTTTTTTGTATTAAAAAGCATTTCTGACAAAAAGAATGCAGAATTCATTTATATATTTTTGTTTAATTTAATGCTGCATTATGGTAATAAATATATAGCACACCATATTCTTTTTTAAAAAAAATCCGGTTTAAACGGGGAAAAAACCATTTTGGGTTTTTTTTTTTTAAAAAAAAACATCTCATAAAAATAAAATAGTTTTAAAGCTCATTTGTTTCAACTCTAAAAGTACATCATTGAAAGCATAGTCTTTAGTGCACTCTGACATGAGGCTGTAGATATCTTTCCGAAATCATTGAAAAGAGCTCTCTAAATAAGAGGTTTCACGCAAAGATTTTGAATTTATTTTAATCTACTTGTTAATAATGTTTGTTTTGATATTTTTTTGTGTATCCTTAATTAACTTATTCCACATTTGGTGCGTATTGTTGCCCGGTCACTGGGAGAGGTTTTGATGGTCTCTCTGGAAAGTTTTCTTCAACACAAAGTTTATGGAAAAAATTCCTTACCTCTCAAAAGTGGTCGTAAATAGAGGAGGAGGTCGTTAAATGCAGGTGGTTTTCCCTGTAGGTTTGGAGAAAAAAAATCTTTCCTGGAAAAAAAAATCTATTCTTTCATAGTATAGCAGACTTCAGCTGTTAAAAATGTGTGCATTTAAAAATTAAACACAATACACGCGATTTACTATGTATGGTTTCCTTTAACATATTATTTTTAATATAAACTTCTTAAAATTATCTGGATTATATTAGTTATTTTTATTTCTTTAAACATGCACACAGCAGATTTTAATCTTATTTATTTGTTTTTAGATAATGTTAAAAATGATCTTGATGACCAGAGTTTGAAAAGTAGTAAAGATAAGCAAACTAATAATGAGGAAAATGAAATACCTGAAGAACCAACAATGGAAGAAAAGAAAGGCAATGTTTTAAGTCTAGGACAAGACCAAGGCATAAAATTAGATGAACAAAAAGAGCCTGCCCAAAAGGAAAATGAAACTCCTAAAGCAAAAGAAGAAGCAGTAGGAACAAAAATAGAGAACCCTGCAAAAAATATCGATAATCAGCTTGTCAATGAGAATGACATTGATGCAGGACCACCAAAGAATTCAGAATTACCTCATTCTAAAACAACAGTTGTTAAGAATAACCCAGCAGTACTAGTTCCTGAAGACAGTAACAAAACCGAGCCAAAGAAAGATATCACCACTGCTCAAAATAATTTGCTTCCAGAATCTCCTAAAGAAAATCTAATGAAGGTTATGCCAGTGGATACCACAATTAATAGCAACATTACTTTGAATACTCCTAAACCAGTTGCTCCAGTAATAAATGATGAATTAAACAAAAATCAAGTTGTTGTTTCTCCATCCACTCCATCTAAAGTATCAGTTGGAGCCAATGAAGCTAAAATTTCAATAAAGCCTGAAATTCCTCTTTCAAAAGATGATGACAAATTAATTCCAACTATCGGCAAAGAAGATGCTTTTTCAGTTACCACTGTTGCTGATTTGGAAAAGATGGAAGATGGAAATGGTATACCAGAACCAGCAGATAAAGATCCAGATCTTTACAGTAAGTATATATTTAATTATTTTAATTCATCGTATTTTTACTCGAAGATATATATTCTACTTTCTGAATCATTAAGATTATGAGGCAGACATTTGAAAGAATAAATAAAATTAATTCCTTGATTTAAATTCATGAGGATTTGTAGTTTTTCCATTCAATAAGCGATTTTAAAACTATCATATCTGCATCATGAATAATTAAACATTAAATTTTTTTGCATCGTTAAAGTTATAATTCAGACATTTAGTTATTGAAGCAATGAGCTCTTTTAAATAAAGCCATGAAGTTTTTGGTGCTTTTCTGTTTAATCAGATTAAAAATATAGTTTAAGGGCTCTATAGGATTTTTCCTAAAATATGTTGAATTTCTTGACGAAAAAAAAAAAACTAGGTATGTTATGACCTGTTTTATTTTGTGCAATTTGACACCAGCTATAAGATGATACTAAAAAAACTTCTAAAGTTACAGTAAAAATACTGAAACCTACTCACTGAAAACAGAAAAAGGCACACATGTTTTTTGAATTTGAATCATCTGCAAACTCAAGTATTTTGTGTAAAGTTATTAGTTCAAAGTTTTATCTTTAAATCTTTTTTTCTCAATTCAATTTCTCATCTTGCATGCAAGATTTCTAGACTTCTAATGAACCTATTAAGTTAAAATTTGGTAATTGGTATGAGTGTAGCAAGTTGCTTAAATTCATGCTAGCACTTCAAAATTACTAAATACAGGGTAATTATAATTAAAGTTACGATTTCAAAAATGGTTAATTTTAAAACTACTTGACAGACTACTTGGCCTGATATTTTAGCAGAACAATCGTGCTCATCGGCATGTTCAGCATTCAGCCGATTCTCCATGAACTACTGATTCCAGCATCATTGTTTGTCCATAGCCACATCTTCCAGTGGATTCCATCCTTTATCTGGTTTCACGTCAAATTAACCAATCTCTTCTGATTTAGCAATCATTTTTCGCAGACCGTTTCTGGGTATTGGACCTGATTTTATGGATTTTTATGTCCGAAACTTTCTAATAGTCATGATGAAAGCAAATTCAGGCAAAGAGCTGGTGCTTTGCAATTTTATAGCTGAGTTATATGCATTTCTCCAATACCCTGTGTACCCTGACTGCGCCATCTATTGGGATATTTTGAAACTATTTTTTCCTTCGCCAAGCAAAGTTTCTTTCTCTCATGATTGTTCTGCTAAAATATCTGGTCATTCTGATGAGTAGTTTTAAAATTATCGAATTATGAAATCATAACTTTAATTATTATCATCCTGTGTGTGTATATGTATCTATATAAATAGACAGATTGATTTTGTCAAAAATATTTTTTTTTTTTTTTAAATTTAGGAAATACATTTTATATTGCTATTTTTTTTGAGCTTGCATAGTTTTAAAAAAAGTATAATTAAAATTGTTTCAAGTTGTAAACGGGATAACGTCTTATGAGCATGTTATCGTGCTTATAAGACATCATCGTGTCTTTATTTTTCTTCAAATTTTATCACCATAGAGAATTAAATTATATAAAATTTCTTTGAATTGTTTTAAAAAATTTGTTTAAATTGTCTGTGCTTATGTTGAATGTCTGTAACTTATATTAAATTCCAGTAAAAAAATCAGAATCTTAAGTTAAATTTTAGATAAGTTAAAGTAAGTATAAGTGGTTTAATTGTTTAGATTTGTGTGTGTTAGATTACTGGTTATAAGTTTAGATTTGTGAGGGGAAAAAATGTGCATTGATGCTTTCTTGATAAAATTAAAACCATCTAGCATCTAGACTCCTTAATGTTTTAAATCTGTTGTAAGATGAAAGTTTGGAAGAGGATATCTTTTTAGCATATCTGTAAATCTGTTAATTGCAGGGTGCGTAGCGTTTGTAAAAAATACTTAAAGGTGCTTTTTTGGGGATTTCGTTTTTAAAAGCTTTTAAAGGTGCTTTTTTCAGCTGGCGTTTTTAAAAAGTGCTTTTTTTCGAATAATTTTTTCTCTCCCTTCAGCGATATCTGGTGGATCGCATGCATTTCACGAAAAATGGAGAGTTTGCTACGTAATCATTCATGCGGACTTCATGTCGTACCCACGTTATGACTTGCGCATGCGCGCATACTTGAAACCGAAACCAGAGTGCTCCAATTCAGATAGAGAATGTCAGATCCATATGAAATCTTTTTCTTTTTCATTTTGTTCTTGTTTATTTAATTTACTTCTAATACTTTTTTTGACGTAGGGGGTAAGGGTACTTTTGTTCTGAGTTCAGGGTCAAGTTGAATTCACTCGGTGATGTGGGAAAGTACTGATTGTTTTTGGGGGGTTTTTTTAACGCTAAAACTGTTTATAAAAAGTTTTTGCTTTTCAATAATATCATTGATTGAATATGAATTTTTTGAGTGCTTGAAAATTTTTGTAAAGTGCTTGAAAAGTTTTTAAAAAGTGCTTATTTTTGATTCAAAGATTTGGCTANAATTTAACTCTTATGAGAAGTGGGTTTCCAAAATGCCAATCTTTTATTAGGGCTTGGCAATAAAATGCTTTGTTGATAGGTTATTCGACTGTGATAGATTTACATATTTTTTTACAAAAATTAAATAAAATGCAAATTTTAAACTTTTTATCATTTTACTCCTACTTGGAATTTCAGTTATTGAAACAAGTATATTTTCAAAAGCATGCTTTGTTAGACTTAGTGTCATTAAAAGGAAAAAAAGAAAATAGGTATGTAAAAAGATAGTTTAAATGTTAAGATTTGATTTAATTATTGTTTCTATTTTTAATCATTATTCTTACTTTTATGAGTTTTCCATTATTATGCAGTTCATTAAATCAGACATGTGATTCTTCTGCTAATTCACGAGATTCACAAATTTCCATGAATAAATAATTTATATTGTGACGAAATTTTCTCTGAGTTCTGCTAATCTAAAATTTAAATTATTGCATAACTTATGCAAACTCTCCTTAACGCCACATTTATTCCACCATTATAAGCAACCTTATTTTTTTCTTCCCAAGTTACTATTTACACAGGATAGGGACCCCCACCCCCAGATTTATTAGTGAAAAACGCTATTTCGGATAAACATCGACAACACAAGACTGAAAAAAAACCTTAATAACTTGAGCTAGAATTAATGAACAACTGAGGCAAACACAAAAAAATAAAATTGATAATTAAAAAAGTAATTCTGAAATGGTAGGTATTTATAAGATCATATGCTAGAAAAATTGTGTTTTTTTCTTATTATTTATTCTTATTTATTAGGTATTATTTATAGCTTATAGTTTAATGAGTAACAATTTTGTCTCAAGTTCAGATTTCTAACTATACCAGTGTAAATCCATGTTTCGATCTATTTTTATTAAGTTTATGCAGTTGATTTTCTCTTGGTTTTTAAAATTCCAATATCATTAGGACTTGAAAATTTTCAATCGCTCATTTAAGAAATCACTTTTTGGTGAGCTGGATTTGTGTCGACGATGTCATCGTAAGTTCGTACGGTGTTTTGATTGTTTTATTGGCTATTATTGCCACGAATTTTCTCAATGTTCTTTTTCTTAACTCCCTATATTTTTTATACATTATTAAAATGACACTCAAAATTCAATCCGTGCATTTATTAGTCACTTTCTGAGTGGACAATACCACTTTTTTCACAGTTATTGCAGCTGATATCTGTGGTTTTTTTAATACCTATATTTTCATACCATATTATTAAGAAATGAAAAATTTGAATCTCACATATAAGTAAATACTTTTTAATGCTATCGATTAGCCCCAAAACTGTATATCACTTCAATTATTGTTGTCATTTCAAGTCATTGTTATTGATTTTCACATGAATTTTTTAAAATTCCGATATTTTGTTGCAGGAAATTCAAATTGTATTTACTATTTCTAATTGTACTTTATTTTTTCAAAAAAATTTTGGCAGCTATCAATATTGATTTTTGCTCATTTTTTTAAAATCTTGATAATTTTTATAAAATATTTATAGCAACATGACACTCAATAGGTACATTTAATTAACCCCTTTTTGGCTCATCCAATTCGTGTGGTTTCGTCGTAAATATATGCTGTTTTCTCATCAGTCTTTTTCTAGCTGTGGATTTCATGATTTTTAAAATCCTTCTTTTTGTTTTATTCTTTGATGCCATGACGGAGGTGTACAAAAAAGGATGAATATGTAATTTTTTTCAATATATGTATATCTATATATAATACTCTTGTATGTGTTGATAAGAAAAAAATTGGTTAATTTTTTTTTCTCCCTTTAAATTTTATGAATGTTACTTTTGTGTTTAAGTGAAGAAAAAAAAAAGGAATCTAATAATAATATTTACACATTAAGGATAAAAATTTCGGGCAATTTTTTCTTCCAGCAGCCACATTCCTGCTGATTAAAAAATTATGAGTCTAGCTCTTTTCAAATGAAGCAACCTAGACACTAAAACAAATATTTTCTGAATATTTAAAATAAATTATCCATGTAGTAGTTGCATACATGCTTTTGTGGAGTTTAAAACTAAAATAAAAAATATCGAAACAATCTTATGAAAAAAAAATTATTTTATTATTTTTTGCATTTATGATTTGCTATTTTTGCAATTTTTTAATAAATTTTTTAAAAAGAAAAAATTTATTTATTTTATCAGATGATATGGAAAGTGAGGGAGAATACTCCAAACTAGAATATGGTATGTTATTGCATGCTTTTTTTTGTTTATTTCCTTGAAGCATGCTTTAACTTCCTTCTTTGAATTTAAATTATGTAATAATTAGTTTTATTTATGTTTATTTTATATTTATTTACGTTTTTTATTTTCTAACTAGAATCACAAATTAATATTTATTGTGAAAAAAATTCTGAGATTTAATATTTATAATTATTTTCTGTAGCTTTTTAAGAAGATAGTCAGATTTTACATTCATAATAATGTGAATTCTTGATATAATTTATAGTATAAATAACTGCCTTTAAAAAGATATTATGATTCTTAATCATTTCCGTGCAGTGCAGCCAGTCTGGCAATAATAATTCAACAAATGTTAGAAACCTCTAGAAATGTAAAACTAATTGCTTTTAAACATTTAGCAACCTCTATTCTTTAACCAATATAGAGCTAAAATATGTCATTTTCACTTTGAATCTTCTAAGGTCTCACTTGCTAATGTCCTGCTTGACCAAAATTTTTAATAAAAATTTGATTTTCCAAAAAGTGTTAAGAGAATGCAACCATTCATTGCAAATTTTCTTTCTTAAGTGATTTAAAATATTCAAAAAGTTAAGTTCAGGTTGACTTAGAGCAAACCATGTTTTAAATGCTGACATTGTTTTTTAAAAAAGTACCAAATTGCAAAAAAAAGAAAAAATTTATAGCAGGACAACTCAGCGTTGCAGAGTGGGAACATAATCCTACAATAACTTGTTTGGATTTGTTGAAAAATTATCAGCATATGAAACTTCATTGCTCACCCTAGGTTTACCTTAACCTTTTAAAATACCAATGATTTGAAACGGAATTTGCCTCAAAACGTTTCTCCCGCAGTATAGTGTCCTCTTAATAGCATTATAGCATGCTACAAATTAGGTAGAGGGATTTTTTAAGGAGTAGTTTTTACTCAAAATTCAAATTTAAATATTCAAATTAAGATTAATTTTAGAGTTGCTTTACTTCACTTTTTGACTTTCATCAAGCAAATGACTAAATGTTATTTCTACAATGTAATCCAGTGGTTAGTGTAAGCAAACATAAAGATTTAACCCCCAACAGATTCTGTGCTGAGTTGGTGACTCGTTTAATATTGACTGCTAGCTAGGCTAGCGCTAATTGTCACAACCATGGTGCTAATCAGACAAATGTGTTGTCATGTGTCGGGTTGCTTTGTTTACTTTTTCTATTAGTTCTCGCTGAACAGAGTATAGTACAATGTTCACAATAATATAGCTATCAACTCTACTGTTACTTGTAGAATATTGTATTTTTACACTTTTTGATGGTCTTGAATTTATCAAAAGTTCCTCTAGTTTTTGCACATTTTAAAAAAATTCCTAAAATTGGGAAGTTCTCAAATTCCTATCAAAATTGATTTTTTTTTATTCGCCTTTTTTTACTTAATAATTTAGCTAAGTAATTGCATCTAGAATAAGAGAACTTGAAATAACTATAATAGAAAGTAAATTTGAAAAATAAATGTTATTTTTAATAGTAATTAGCTAAATCTTAATTTTTTTTTCATACCTGAAATTCTTTCTCTGTTTAAAATAATTAAAATCATTTATGCTGTACTTGAATTAAAAATATATTAAACAATAAAAAAACACTATAATTTATTTCATTTGGTCAATTAGGAATTGTAAAATATTTGGTCTTTCAATTTGTCGTTAATAGTGAAATGTACTTTTTGTATTTTATTTTTCCTTAATTGATAATAAGAAACTCCTTAGATTTCCTGATCAAAATAAAAGCGGATAAATATGTGCAACTCTTTAAAAAGAAATGAGTGACTCGTTAAATCATTCTAGGCAAAAAAAAATTTTTTAAATTTTAAGATTTTATTGAAGGAAAAAAAAATTAACAATACCTACTGGATTCATTATGTTTGATGAATCTGATATATCTTCATTTAAATTCATTATCAAATCTCTTTAAATGACTGTACTTTTTGTAATTCTTGAATACAACCAATAATGTAGTCTCAATAATGTAAAATCACATTACATCAATAATCTAGATAAAGATATTGTTAAAGAGGAGTATATTAGAAATTATATATAGGGGCTATACATTTAAGATGTTAAAAGATCACATTTTGGTTGCTTTAATATGGTTAAAACTGTAAAAAAAAATAAAAAAAGAAAGAATATATATAATATATTTTCTTTATTATTAAAATGAAAGGAGGCATGAACAGGAAGTGAGTGACAATTAAACCACTCTAAATTTAAAAATTAAGATTTGTATTAAAGTAACTAATTTCATTGCTTATCTGAACTTGTTAATGTGCTTTTTTTAGTGCTTTAATGTGAGGCTTTATGAATTGAATATAAGTGTCAAGATTGTAACAACTGTAATTATGAGTAAACTAAATTGTTGAATCTTAGAAGACAAAGTGCTGCTGTGGGTGGCCAAGTGTCTTGATCAATTAGGAATCTATTAAAAAGAATGAACCAATTAGGACCAGTTAAAAAAAGGGTATGGGTGCAAAAATCATCAGTACTTCTAATTAATCACTTACTAGTTGGTAAAAATGGGGGGGGGGTGNGGGGGGGGGGGGGTGCTCTTTCTTAAAATATTTTTATGAAGAAAATTACATTGAGATGTTTCTTAAATTACTTTACATTGGAAGACATTATATACAAATATACCTAGAGCATAAAATACTACTATGTAACAGATCTATTGCATTTTAAAATAATGTTATTCAGAGGAAGTTTTGGTTTTAATTTTCATGTTCTAACTTTATGCCATATACTAATTTAGAGAATTTCATGTTACTTATTTCAATTCTTACCCAAATGTGTCTACATTCCTAGCTGATAAAGAATTACATAAACTTATTTGTTATTTTTATTCTTTGCTAAATACTTAATGAAATAAAACTTTGTTCAAACTGTATAAATCGGAATGTCGAAAATTCGTATGTAAATTCAATTGATAACTCTTGTCATTTTCTTATGGTGTTTTATTTCTGATAATTCGTTCTTGTAAATCTTATAACATTTTTTAAAAACCTCACTCTCTAATAAATTCTATAGATGAAGATGGATTTTATGATTCTTCAAAAAATAAAAAGCAAGACGAGCCTGATGGTGGAAAGATATCGAAGCCTGCTGTAGCCGAGAATGAACCACCACCCAAATATGATGATTTCCCTTCAAGAAACTTCGTCCGAGGATCTGGGGATATTCTTTCAACTTTTCCTGAACAGGAAGATAGTCATTTCTTCTTTTATTTCCTCTCATTAGTACTGATTCTTATGGCTGGGTATCTTTTATTCCACAATAAGCAAAAGGTAGGAATAAAAATCTGTAGGAATAATACTCATATACTCTATCTTAAGAACTTCACTTTCTAGTCGTCTGGAGCACTGTTGGTGACTGTTCAGGTAGGAGTGTTGGATAAATACCTGAGACAAGTTTTGACTCAGGTTGGGGAGCGAAGTATAAAAAAAAAAACCTCTCTAAAATATGTTCTTTATTGTTTCCATAACAGCAGACAACACCAGACCTTGTGGCGGAAAAGTTCTTTAGATAGACTTATGAGGAATTGTATATTTTGTTCAATGATTTTATATTGCATAACTAATTATTGAAATGGTTTGTGTACATTCCTATAGTGAAAAATTAGATTTTAAAATAGTTCTGTAAATTTATTTGAGCATATTATGAAAATTATTATAGTTGAAAGGCTTGAGTTTATAACATGGTATGTGTATTTTTAGTCGCCCGGTGGCTGAGTGGTAGCGCTTCGCGCTCCTGTCCCACAGGTCCTGGGTTCATTCCTCGGGCCAGGCAAGGTTGACTCAGCCTTGACTAAACACTGGGGGTTCCGCGTTTAGCTGACCACCTAACCGGAACATCTGCTCCTGCACCCCAGAGCCCAAGGTCAAGATAACTGAGATGGGCACAGTAGGCCTTGGCCCTCTATGGGCTGTCGCACCACTGAGTTAGAGTTAGTTAGAGAGGTGTATTTTTTTAAAAAAAATTTCCCTTCTATTTTAGTAAATTTTTGACTGTGGGACTTAGGCTATTCAAAAATAGAAAATAAACACTGTCTTGTGCAATAAATAGTGTGAGGGGAAAATCCCGAACTAGTTGACTTTTTAAATGATATTTGGCTCTTATTAATAATTTGTGAATCCAATATTTTTGCTTTTTATATATTATAGGTTTCAATATCTCCCTTTAACATTTTTTTCTTCTGCTATTTTTGAAGTTAGAGTTATATGACATATCTGAGTTAACCTGTCACAAAAATTGCTACATAATATGCAAAAGGTTGGCCACCACTATAGTTTTTTCTCCTGACTTGAACTGCAAATGTATTTTTATGATAATCAAATTTAGACAAATATTCATATAAATCATGATAGAAAAAATGTTTTTACTTTTTTAGAAATAAGAAGACCAGGATCTACTAAGACTGTTTTTCATGTATTTGTAAAAAAAAAAAAAAAAAAAAACTATATAAGGCAGGGTGCATAGCGTTTTTAAAAAGTGCTTAAAGGTGCTTGTTTTCTATTTTCGTTTTTTAAAAGCCCATAAAGGTGCTTTTTTCGTTAAGTGTTTTTAAAAAGTGCTTACCTAATTTTCCCTTTTTTGAAATGAGATTTTTCCTTTACTATGTTTATTTTCGCTTCGAATTATGCAAAAAGACAGTTCTCATTGTTCTATTCAATGTTTTCACAATTAATTCAATCCTAATCTATTTTGACGTATTGTCAGCCCGTAGCGTATGAAAACGCCATTCGTTTTACATGATTCAAAATTTCATGATTTTTGACAAGTGTCAAAAGTTTTTTTTTTGTTGACATGACTGTTAAAACAGGATAAAACCGTTAATTGTCAAAACATATTTTTTGAGAGCTTATTTTTTGTTGAATTACTTGGCTAGGCACTCAGTAAGGATAGCAAGAGTGGTTACATTTTAATTAGAGCTCTGTAAATGATAATTCAAGTTTCAATTTTTTCCTGATTATTACAAGCGGAATTTTATATTAATACCAAAAGAACATAGTGGACAATCTAAATTTTTATCACTCTCTGAAATAAACAACTGAATTAACACAAAACTGAAAAGAAAATAATAAATTTAGTAACAATTTTAAAAACTTTTTTTAATAGACTAAAAATGAGAGAATAATTATATTTTTATCACATCCTAAACAAGGTACATTACTTTTAACATCTATCATTACTGCAAATCCTTTGCACATCTATCAAATGTGATGTTCCTATGTTATTCCTCTTAGATCCAACAAAAATAAAATTATTCTGTACTTCATTATTCCTATTTTGTTAATGTGGCTTAGTTTTTGCATACCACCCCTAGGTCACTGTTGTCTGCCCACTGGCGGTTTATGTGCAGATCTGTCAGTGGGTTAAATGTCTTAAAATATTAAATATTATGAAACATTTTTGTAATGCTCTAAAAATACTTAACCTTATAGGCATGGTTTAAACCATGGTTTTTCCCCCAAAAAAATGGGGTTTTTTTGTTGCCAACCTTGCTTATAAGCTACTTAAAAGGTTAACTTACTGTGTTTCGTTTATTATTTTAACACTGGATTCATTCAACATCATCTTTTTCAGATCATTGCATTGATTGTTGAAGGTCGGCATGAAAGGAGACGCAGGTCACATGGACTTGGATACAAAAAGCTTGAAACCAAATAACTCAGATTTTCACTCCATTCGTTTATTTAACTTTTTGTATATAAAAAATACTGTTGTGTGTTCTTCCTTGTTTTGAATAGTTGAATGGATATTGATGTTAGCACAAAAGGATGTAGTTCAAACTATTATTTATTAACTGTTACAGAATTAAGATAAATTGGTTCTATTGTGTAATGATTTTTGTCAATAAAATTGTTACTGAATGTAAATAAATGAAATTCTCATTATTAAAGTAAAAAATAATTTTTATGTCCACAAGGTGCAGAGTTTTTCAAAAATGCTTATTTTTAATTTTTAAAAGCCCTTAATGAAGTGAGGGGCTTTCAATATTTTGAATCTTTTGTTATTTAGATTTCTCATTCCAAAAAACTTTAATTCATCTCTTAATGATTTGATTTTAAAAAAAAATTAATTAAAAAATTCAATTATACTTCTGACAAAAATTTTTAGTTTCAATACTCATTGTATTTACATTTCAAAATTATTTGATTTTTTTTAATCACTTAATTAAAGAAATATTAAACAAGTAACAAATTTTAATAAAAATTTATTAGAGGCCATTCAGTAATTTACATATGTGAATTTATTAAAGTTTTCTTAATTCTTTACCTATCTTTATAAATTTGTTGTGTTCAATAATATTAATCTTGTTAATGTTTTTTTGAACATGCTTTTATAAATAACTTTTTAAATTTAAAAAATACACTCGATAACCTCTTTTTAAAAATGGTTAAAATAACTATAATTTTGAATTAATTTTTTTACATAATTAAATAAATTTTTAATTTAAAAAAGAAATAGAATGAGCCACTCAGTATTGAATATATTTAAAATTGTGCATAAAATTTTTGTTATTGTAGCTAATATAATCAAGAAAAAGAGTTCTTGATCAGAAACTAGTTATTTCATCATGATTATATGAAGTCTTAAAATTTTTATTTTTGCAATAATATTTTATTTCAAACCAAATATAAAAAAAATTATACCATTACAGCAATGATTTATTAATTTTGTTAGAAATCTGAATTGTAGCAAAATCCTCACTTAGTCATATTTTATTAAATTTTAAAACATAGTGTTCCTTAAAAAAGAAAATTTTCTAAAGCAAATTACAAATTTCTGCGCTTTCAAAATTACTTTATACATTATCAATTTGAAATGCTATACGAGGCACGTCATTCTTGAATTTTTTTTATTATCAAGGGGAAAAATTGCAAAAAAGAAAACCTTTTTGCTTCGCTTCCCAAATCTAAATACAATGTTGTACCTAAAATACAATGTAAAAAACAATGTTGACACCTAATTAAAATGGGGAAATTTGATTTATTTTTCCCTCACTAAATTCTACAATTATCAATATAACTAATAATTTTTTAGTATTTTCTGAAAGATAATTCAGCTTCATACATTTGTCTGTTTTTAAATTTTTTGCTTCTGCATAATGCTTCAAAATTCTCTTAAAACAATTGTTTTAAGAGAATTTTCCAGCATTAGCCCAATTAGTTTTCATAAGCTATTATAAGTATATTCTAAAAATCTGGAAGCAGAGAAATATTCTGTCTTGCATTAACTTACTTAAAATTGAACTGGCTAAATTTTTTACGAGTTTCAGAAAAAATCGATAAAGGTTTTAAAAATTATCTACTGATATTTCTTATAATTTAATAATGTGACTTATATTCCACCTTTTGAAACATGCCGAATGAAACTCTATCATTTAAAAAAATAAATAAAAAGTCAAAAACAAAAGTAAAATAGATATTTAACAAGACTTTGTAAAATATGGATTGAATGGGCAAATGTGTAACTTAAATATTTTGTTGAAATAATTTTTCCACTATTAAAAATATCTCGACAGATTAATTTTAATGTGAAAAAAGTCATTCCGCAGAAAATGATTTTCACCATTTAATTTGATCAACCAACATGCAATTTTTTTACAAAAGGAAATTAAAAATGTTGGAAGACAGTTACAAAAATTTTATTTTGTATTTCATTATGTTTCAAATAGGGCACTAACTTTTTCAATCAATTTATATTAGATATTCATCATCTATTATGAATGTACTGTCAGAATGTTGGGCGAATTGCATCATCTACTTCCTCATTGAAAGACGCCAGAAAGGAAAGCCCGGTATCCACGGTGCTATCAAGTCCAGGCGGTAAAAGTCCTGAATAAATTAATAACTAACTCTTTTCCATAGAACAATCTACTTAAGCTTTCTTTCCTGATCCGGCAACCCTGCGTGTAGGCAGCTCCCACCGGTCATGATATTGCTGTTAAACTTATTTCCTCTTTTTCTATTAAATGTTAAGTTAGGTTATGAAACTATTGTCTTTTTTTCCCTCCCTTGTTCCACTAACTCCTACATGAATGTATATGAAGTACGAGGCCCCAATCATTAACAATTAATAGCATAACAAAATAAGATTAGATAACAAAAAAAGATTAGAATCTTTTTAAATACACCTTGACATCCAAATATGACCATGACATATTTATTAAGGATAATTAAAAAGTAATTTTCATAGATTTATTTTTAACAGAAAATATTTGTAATTTAAAATTTCTTTTTTAGAAAATTTATTTTGGAAAGCAAGATATAAATTGAGGGATAGAATTCAGTCCTGAATTTTTTCAAGACCGATTTCAGTCCCATTGGACTAAAAAGTGGTACATATGTAAAACTTTAATATATAAGCATAAATCTTTCTTGCTTTTTGTTATGGATATGGCAGAATTTTAATTTAATAAAATTATTTACCATCACAAGGTTCAATTTAAACTAAAACTTCAGAAAATTTTTTTTTTGACTTTTCCAGTTATTCCCAGAAAATTTCAACATAATTCCCAGCCAATTTTAGTCTATTCACAGCAATTTTTCATCAGAAAAACAAGATATGTGGAATTCGAAATATTAATTCTATGTGAAAATTGCCTAATGAAGATATAAAAATTCAAACTGAAATGTCGAAATTTTACAAAAAATTATTGGAATAGTAGTAAATTTTTTTAAAACTAAGAATATTATTTTATTTTCCAGTTCTCCAGGAATTTTTTAGGTCTAAAAAAAAAAAACCTAAACTTAGCACCCAAAGAAAAAAACACTATAAAAGCCATTTAAAAACCTATTGCATAACATTTTTCATTTAAAATTCCCAGAATAGAGATCACTTAGGTAGGGGGTGCACAACCTTTATGAGTGAAGGTCCACTTGCACAGCAGGTTGATTAATGAAGGGCTGCACGCTCATTCAGACATGTTATTGTTGATGGCAAATATGATAATTTTTATTAAAAATTGCAGTGTTAAAAGGAATAAATTTTTTATCAGTAAAATTGGTAATATATTTACAGAATATATATTTTTTCTCTATTTTACCAAAATTGATTTATCAATATACATATTGGGAAAAGAAATGTTTCTTTTTTAATCATATCAATTAATACAGAAGTTCATTTTAAAATAAATTCTTGCAAAAAAAAAAAAAAAAACTGCAAGGCTTTCAGAATGAAAAGTATAAAAAAATAAATTTTTAAATGAGTAATATAAATTGCAATTTAATATTTTGAAGAAAATTTACAGTTTAAACAGAAATCCAAATAAAACCATTATAGTAAGAAGAAAAAAAAAGATTCAATACTTATTTAATATACATCAAATATTATTTTTATTTCTGGAATTATTAGAGGTTTTATGAATTTTAAAAAAGAAAAAAAATTTTTTTTTTCTCCTATAAAAACCATTGCAGCTACAAAAAATCAAAAACTAAATTACAAACAGTGGGCAGCTTAAAAATTCTTGTTTTCCTCCACTTCTCATGTTGCAATAAAATTGCATTAAAAAATATCAGGATTCTAAATACCTTGTAAAAATGCATGGTGCTAACTGAAGAAAAAAAATGGTGGAAAATAAATTGGATTTACAATGAAATGGGCACAAAATTATGTGAAAAAGTGATTATTTAAATGTGCGACTAGAAACTCGTGTGTTGTAATATCGTAGCTAAAACAAAAAAAAAACGGGATTGTCAAAATCATAGTGAAAAGTATCGCAAAAATTGGGGGGGGGGGGGTATCTTGTTTAAAATTACAATAAAATCAACATGAATAAAGTGTGTCAATAAGAAATTATTTAAAATTTGCATGTTACGGTAAAAATCTTAATTTCTAAAACCACATGAGAATGTTGAGCAATAACTGCCTAAAAAGAAGTTTATAGTTAGTACTCTATAATAGAAGTTGATAACTTGATAAAATTGATACAAAGCGCAGCAAAAAGTGATAAGTTAAATGCACTGTTTAAAACTCGCATAAAAAAATAATTAAATGCGCGATTTATAGCTTGCACGTCATAATATGGTATCAGGATTTTAAAAACCAAATGAAATCAGTAGTCATTAATACAAAAATAAGAAGAAATGATCAAAAAAAATGATAAGATTTATGATATCGGCAAAAAAAAGCAAGTAAAAAAGTGGTTACTCAAATTTGAAATTCGTATATCGTCATATTGGGTTTTTTAAAAACGACACGGAATTCCAATGGAAAAAGTGATCGAGAAACAACACAGACTTACAATAGAATCAGCGCAAATTAAGTGCATAAAAAATTTTCTTATCTTTCAAAAAGAAATTTTCTCTCTCTCATTGTATTCAGAGACTTCTCTGGATTGCAGACCAACAGTCAGCAGATCGCAGGTTATGCACTTCTATCTTAGAGGAATGATTAAGAAAAAACCCAAAAGATAAGCAGAGAATCTTTTAAAGCCTTTTTAGAAGCTTTCATAGCAGTCTATTAATCAAGTACCAAAAGTGAACTTGAAGATTAAGGCATTGAATATCATTGTGACAGAGCCACAATTTTCTTAGAGTAAGGTGGGGATCTCAAAATTTTTATTTAAACATTTTATTTTCTTTTAGTATGCCTTAAAAAAAGCAATTTTTTATTTCCAAAATTTAATTTTCTTATTAATACAGTAAGTAATTTAAATACAAAATTAAAGAGACTAAGTGCTATGTTTTTAACTAAAATATTTCAAATCTAAAAATTTAATCCAACCAGATGTAATTACAATCATTGTTTAATTTATATTATGGTTCACTTTCATATGACTAAATCAAAATAAGACTTACTTAGATTAGTAACTTTCTTTTAAGTCTTACACAAAACAAAAAATTATTATCAAACCACTTTAAATGTATATGATTAAAATTCAACAAAAACTTTAATGCTAAATTATCGAAATAATTTATTTCTGATAAAACTAAGTAAACGGTTATAAACAGGCAGGAAATATATTCAGCTGTACGCATAGTTATATATAATCATAATCAAAACATTGTATTCAACTAAAAACTTCATTTTAAATTGAATTACAAACTATATAATTCTCTCTTCACCAAAAACAAAGAATTTAGTCACATTTTAGGCTAAAAAAAAGTTCAGTACTGATTATTTAATGCATAATTTCTTTTTTAAAGGAGATTTCAACAAATAGTTTAAATATAGATAACTGACTAAGTAAGCTTTTAAAAAATTATTGGTACAGATATATTTCTTGCTTAACCTAAATAAAACATTTACTTAGCTAAATTTGAACAATAACTTTTAAAAAATAGTGTAAATATTTTTTTTAGTTTCAGGTTACATAGACCAATTTTCCCAGATACAGAACTTTATATGATAAAATTCGTTTCAGCTGAACCCCAACTTTATAAATAATTAAGTATATAAAAACAATATAATAAAGTATGTTAAAACAATTCTGAGTGTATCAACTAATAATTGACTATTACTTGATTAAAAACTTCATTCACCTTAAAAAATACATTTATTTTTGAGGTGAATGAAGTTTTTAATCAAGCAATATCATATCGCTTCAGTTTCTAGCGATTATTTTTTCAATAAATAACTACCTTATTTTGAAAATATACAATATGAGGAAATATTTTTAAATTTGGATTCATATCAAACAAAATAATTTTAATTATCAGTATAAAAAAATGACTGAGAATTTTCCTTAATTTAATAATAACTTGACATCCAAAATAAAAAGAAATTTATCAGTTAATATTTTTTATATAGCCTTGATCATACATTAAAAGACTTAGTACTTTTTCTTTCATTCTGTCAAATGAAATTGAGTAAAATTAACTTTATTTCAAAAGTTTTCTTTTCTTTTTATGTAAAACTTCATCAGTTACTTTTCTCTTTTTCTGAGAAACTCCATTAACTAATTTTTTCTTTCTTTGAGAAACTTCATCAGTTACTTTTTTCTTTTTTTGAGAAACTTCTGTTACTTTTCTCTTTTTTGGAGAAACCTCATCAGCGACAGTTTTCTTTTTCGACTGAACTTCATCAGTCGCTGGTTTATTATCTTTCAGGTCACGTAGCAAAGGCGTGCTAGATTTCAACACATCCTCCTCCCATCTCTTTATCTCCTGATTATCATTAAGTTGAAAATGAACCAATCTTCGCTTTTCAGATATGAAAAAGCTATTCTCTTCAATTTTTATCAGTATGGCTTTTAATTGTTGGTTATACTTGGGCACTCTGCACAGCTTCATGAAACTCTTAATCTGCAGAACAGCAGGCAGAGCAAGTTCAGGAAAACCAATAGTATGTGAGTATATTTTCAAGTATTCCATCAGCAAATTGCATACTTCATTTAAACTGGCATCTTTGAAACCTGCTTCTACTAACTGTGACTTAGTAACCTTCAATGCGCAAGAAAACTCTAAAGGTTTAATGCTGAAATTAGACTTTTTGTTAAAGTCGATTATCGTCAAGATTTCAAGAATAAACGGTAAAGTTGGAATAAAAGTACCAGTCGATTCAGAGATAAACATCAAAATTTTAACAAGATGAATCCGCAATGGAATATATCTTGCGGTTGGGATTAAATTTAATGTGCCAACGATGGTTTGCACAAGAGGATAAATTAGAGTTTTAATAGCATCAAGTTCATAGAGTCTGCATAGCAAATGTGACCAATGCATAAGACAATGTACATATTGCCAATTGTACACAGTTTGGAAAGCTTCCTTCTTCTTCGTTGTTATAGCATTACGTAAATGTATACATAACTGACGAATATAGATAAATGAATGTTCATAAGCTATTTCTGCATTCAAACTGTAAACTTCTGTCAAAGAACGCTTCATGAAATTTATCATTGGCCAAGTTGTTGGGGAAGTAAATTTGGTATTTTTAATGTAAGCAAAATACATTTCCTTTAAGACTTGGTTAAGGTACTCTTTTGAAAATGTTCTTGTCAATCGAACAATTATAATCAGCGATAAAACTCTCACGGTTTCTTCTTCGCCACTCCATAACACAATCATTTTTTTCACGAGGTTTCTCGCCAACTTAATAAACACAGCATAAAATGGAATTAAATGAACAGTGTGTTTTAATAGCAAAGTTGTGATATGGGAATTATTCATAATCGAAAACAATTTCAGCAAATCAATGAGATAAGACTTTATGGGCATCATCATTTTCTTCCAAAGTTTAGATTGAGTTGGATCTTTCTTCTTTTTAGATTCCTCCTTAGAAAGTTTCAAAACACTACACAAAGCTGGATATAATTCGATGAGACACAATTTAATTACCTCATTAAACAGTTCACTATTCTTCATGTTAGCTTTTTCATTCGAACCATCGGCTTGGTGTACAGCAGTTCTAAAGGCTGTAATCAAGGCCTTGCAGAGTTTCACTGAGGGATTTTCTCGAATGTTTTCTTTGATGTATTCTAATTTATTGACGGAAATTGATTCCTGCAGAGCTTCTTCTTCGATTTCATCGTTGTCATCTTCTTTAACCTCATTATTTTCTGAATCATGATCATCACTTTCAGATTCTCTGAAATTCAATAGATCCTTGTCGTTAGTTTTGAGAAATTCGTAGAATTCTGGGTCTTTAGATTTCAGTCTTTTCAGCGAAGCAACATGATCGGATAGCTCCTCTAATTCAGATTCGCTTCCAGACATCTTAATCTCGAATAATTTTAAAAATTACGGACAAATGTAATATCTACTAGCGAAAAATTGCTTTTTTGTTTACATTGCGTGCAAAAAACGTGCACACAAGCTAATAACGATTCAGTCACAGTTAAAATATGGATAGTGTCTTCTACACTAGGGAACGCTGCAAGCTCGGTAGCGCCTAAATTTCCGGGTTACTGTTTGCGTTGTATTTTAAAGCCATTTGGCATCATTGTGTTTTGAGATTCTTGCAAACAATGTATTTGATTACTTATTACTTGTGTTTACAATGCTAAAAGTTTTAACCCTAACGTAAGATGGTGCACAGCTTGCAACAACAACAAAAAAAAAAAACAGTATTAAACTTATGGAAAGAGGTCATATCATGACTGCCAAAAATTCGAGTTCTTCAAAATCTAGCAACCATGTCACCTTTTTTAACAATATATCTCTAAAAAACTAAAGCAAATTTTCACTTTAAACTCACCAGAATCAGTTATTAACATTAATATCTTATGAAATATGGCAGATTTGAGCTCAGAAATCATCTAATTTATTTCTTTTATTGAAAACAAAATTATCCGTTTGAAAACATCGTCTCTGCAAACTTTTTAACCGCAACTAGAGTAGGTGCCGAGCTCGAGATTGTTATTGTTTACATTTCTATTGAAAACAGAATCCATTCAACTCAGATAAATTTTATTAAACTTTATTTAATTGAATTAATTTTTGAAGGCTTCTCGTTGCATGTTCACCGCTGAGGGATTGAGTAGCCGCCTGATTGGTGAGAAATACTTTCTGGCAAAAAACTCACCTATCAAGTTCTCCATTTTTATCGATAGCAATCAAAAGTGTGTGAATTGTAAAAAGCAAGAACAGACTTTTTAAGAATCAAGGCTAAAGAAACATTCACACTTTATTTACACAAGCGAATTTGATGATTTGAACTAGAAAGTGATTGGCGAAATACATTGAAGAAGCATTTGCCTTGTATGCGAAAAATAGCGTGTGCGAATTCAGAGATTTGAGCAAGAACCTGATAGGCGAGTTTTTTGCGGTTAAACTTATATTCGTCGATAGATATATCATCACCTGTTTCGCACAAGTCTTGCTCTCGTTCGCATCTCCGAATTCGAACACGTGAATCATTCGAAATGATTCAATCATTCGATTCTCCATATCATTCGAAATGGAACTATGACTGCAGCCGAAATAGGATGGGACTTGAGACCTATTGTAGTCCCTTATGCTGCAGCAAATTGAGATGACTTCATGTTAATGGACAGGAATTGCAGGCCACATCGTGGTAACTAGGTGAATGATTTCCTTTTGGAGGAATGAATTATACGAATGGATTGGCTAGCGTGTTTTCCGGACACGAACCCTATTGAACAAGTTTAAGACATTTTATGTAGACGAATTGCTGTCCGCCTACCACTCCACGAACTCTCCAAAACGGGAAAGAGCTCTTCTGGAGGAGTGGAACAGAGTACCCCAGCCTCTCATTAATGACCTCATTGATTCTAAGTATCAATGGTGTTCAACGTTGCTGGCCGTCAGGGGGAATCATACCCCCTACTAAAAACGGTTTTCTTTTAAGGAAATAACTTTTTTTTAAATTTGTTTTTCTCCCATGCCCTTATATAACCTACTACGTCTGTCGATAATGTATCAATCATTCAAGCAATTCTTCAGTTGCAATAGCAATCCACAATCTTAATATCCTTTAATTGTTTTGAGCAGTGTATATATATATATACAATTTGTATATGGCTAAAGCTTGATAATCAAAGGTAAAACAAATCAAATAAAAGAGTTCAAATGCGCCACAAAACTTGAGCTTCCAAAGTTTATTTTGAAATCATTTCGACTAGTTATAAACATAATGCTATTCATCGAAATAATTTTTACAGCACTTAAAAATGCAACCGCCATGNCTCGGTCCCTACGCAGACTGATCCAAGTGGTCACCCACCCGCACACTGACCGCAGCCAGTGATGCTTGACTTCGGTGATCTGCTGGAAACCGTGTCTTAGCGATCAGTCCACTGCGGGACGATTTCCTTTTGGAGGAATGAATTATACGAATGGATTGGCTATCGTGTTTTCCGGACATGAACCCTATTGAGCATGTTTAAGACTATGTAGACGAATTGCTGTCAGCCTACCACTCCACAAACTCTCCAAAACGGGAAAGAGCTCTTCTGGAGGAGTGGAACAGAATACCCCAGCCTCTCATTAATGACCTCATTGATTCTAAGCATCAATGGTGCTTAACGTTGCTGGCCGTCCGGGGAAACCATACCCCCTACTAAAAACGGCTTTCATTTAAGGAAACAACTTTTTTTTATTTGTTTTTCTCCCATGCCCTTATATAACCTACTACGTCTATTGATAATGTATCAATCATTCAAGCAATTCTTCAGGTGCAATAGCAAACCCACAATCTTAATAACTTTAATTGTTTTAAGCAATTTATATATATAAGTGAAAGTCAGGATGAATTTTTTTCAAATCCAGGAAAACATCCATTTTGTTGATTAGCATGTTAACAGACTGTTTTTACATAAAACAATAATTGTAATTGTAATTTACAATTTCTTTGACGAAGCACGTTCCCTATAAGCGTGCCAGTTGCTTTTGCAAATGTTCCCCAAAAAAAGTTTTAAAATGCAGCAGCGGTTTCCAAATGGTGTTCCGAGGATCCCTATTGTTCTGCGGAAGAGTGAAATGGGTTTTGCGAGTCAATACTTTTAATGAGTTTAGAAACGTTTGATTATATATAGATACAACCTATAATATTTATAATTTATTTAATAATATTTATAATTTATTCTTTGGGTTATTTTATGAAATTATTGCAGTTAAAAGGCCAATGAAATTTGAATGGCATTTTATCATATATAATGCCATTCAATATATTTCTTATAATATTATATTAGAAATATGAAGAAATTGAATTGAGAAATATTAGAAAATTGAATGGCATTAAATATATTTCTAATAATATTATATTGAACAAATTATGAAAAGAACAAGTCCTTATGAAATATTGCATAAGTATTTCCTATCGCACTTTTTAAAACAAAATATAAAAAATTTTAATAAAGAAATATCTTTCCTTAATAACCATTTTCGTCTGCACTTTTCATCTCCAGGTAAATCATAATTCGGTTTATTTTATTCATTCACGTGTACGCACAAAAAAAATTTAAAAATAAAATAAATGAATAAATAAAAACAAATTCATGGACAAAATTGTGATCGTTTGATGGATGGTGTTTTCAATAGAAATGTAAACAATAACAATCTCGAGCTCGGGACCTACTCTAGTTCCGGTTAAAAAATTTGCAGCTGCTTACTACATGTTATTCTGATAGGCGATGTTTTCAAACGGATAATTTTGTTTTCAATAAAAGAAATAAATTAGATAATTTCTGAGCTAAAATCTGCCGTCTTTCATAAGATATTAATGTTATTATGTAATTCTGGGGAGTTTGGAGTGAAAATGTGCTTTAGTTGTTTTGTTATTTATTATTAAAAAAGGTGACATGGTTGCTAGATTTTGAATAACTCGCTTTTTTGGCAGTCTTGATTTGGCCTCTTTCCATTTGTTTATTACTGTTTGTTCGTGTTGCAAGCTGTGCACCATCTAACGTTATAGTGTTAACACTTTTAGTATTGTAAACAAAAGTATTGTTAGCATTGTAAACATAAGTAATAAGTAATCAAATACATTGTTTGCAAGAATCTCAAAACACAATGATGCTAAATGGCTTTAAAATACAACTGAAGCAGTAACCCGGAAATTTAGGCAGTCCCGAGCTCGCAGCGTTCCCTAGTGTAGAAAACACCATCCATTACGATCACTGGTTACCCACTGGTCAAATGCTTTTTTTTTCTTTTCTGGATGATTCCGATAAACACCAAAACATTTCAAATCTTGGGTTGCAAAAATTGTTTCAATTGGGTATAATATGAAAAAAACACAACTACTTCGATTTAGTAGGAACAACATATGACGCAATGCTAAACCAATGGAATTTAGTTGTTGTTTATTTAGTTATTGTTATTAGTAGTTGTTGTTATTTGTTTTAGTTGTTGTTGTTTATTTAGTTGTATTTAGTTTCAATAACTTTTCTTTATAATGCAATAAAATCTGGCGAGCAGCTATTTAAACGATC